CACCAGAGCCATTAACAAAAGTGTTTACTGTCAAATGGCCAGGAAGCTTCAGAATTATTTGTGTCTGCACTGAAATTGAAAGTTGTGTTTTGGATTCCAGACCCAAACTCCTAGGCTTCCCCATGTCGGGTCCACCCACTGGCCCCTGTACACCAGAAAAGAGACAAGGTGAAGGCCAAAGAAAGATTTATTACACTGCCCAGACACAAGCTGCCGGAAGAGGCAGAGTAAGCACTCAGCCCATCTTCAGATGGGAGTTTTAGCTTTAAGTAGACAAAGAAATGGGGACGAGGGATAAAGGTATGCACAGTTAAACCATCCCAGTCACAGGCGTGGTTTGGTTGGCTATTTTCTCAGTCCTTGTTTTGGAAGAGGTGCTGGAGAAGTTGTTACCCAGTCATTTTTATCTGGCAGGTGGTACATCCTGAGAAGGCCCTAATCTTAGTTTCTACCCTTGTCATGAAGATGTCATCAGTTCTGTCCTTCCTGGTGATCAGAAAGTGACTGCAGAGAGAATGGCTTAAACCAAAGACAAACATAAAATGGAGCGATATCACAGTTTTCTCCTGTGTTTAGTTAACTCTTGGGCCCAGGTCAGGAGTCAGTGCTTTGTAGCAAAAGCAGTTCTAGCACCTCTTATGCAATGACCTCCTCCGGGAGCTCCAGGACCTCACATGCTGGGCACAACCTTTCATTTTCTATTAGTTCCCATTTTAACCTCCTGCAAAGCCACTAATTATTTAATATCTAAAATGTACATTTTTTGTGTGTGTGGAACTGGGGTTTGAACTCAGGGCCTACACCTTAAGCCACTCCACCAGCCCTTTTTTGTGAAGGCTTTTTTTGAGATAGGTTCTTGCAAACTATTTGCTCAGGCTGGCTTCAAACCTTGATCCTCCTGATCTCTGCCTCCTGAGAAGCTAGGATTACAGGCATGAGCCACCCACTCCCAGTTTAAAATGTGCAATGTTTTATTCAGCAATCTCAGTCTTCTGATGGCCTTCCCTTACTTGTAATCCCCCACACCTCCCTTCAGGAACTCCTCCATTCAAATTCACTCTCTCTAAGTTTTCCCTCTTTAAACCTCTGCATGTGTATCCAAATATTTATTAGTTTTTAGATATAAACACAGTATTTTAAGGAAAAAATTGTCACCATCTTTATCAGGTTTCATGTCTATTATATTGGAGCCACAATAGGAAGCAGTGGACTCAAATCAGGGTCACCCACAAAAGTTCACTTATGAAAGAACTACTTACAAAGGAGTAGTCAGGATAACACAGGGCTAGTGAGGGAACTGGAGCCAGAAGGAAAGGAGGACAGAACGTGTACAGAGCAACTTCCTTCTCCTGCTCAAAGCAATCTGCAAAGCCAGGCTCACACCTGCAATCCTAGCTATCAGGAGGCTGAGATGAAGAGGATAGCACTTTAAGGCCAGCTGGGCAAATAGTTCAAGAGAGAGCAAGCAAAATAACCAGAGCAAAATAGACTGGAGGTGAGGCTCAAGAGGTTGAACACCTGCTTTGCAAGTGTGAAGCCTTGAGTTCACATACCAGTCCCACCAAAAACAACAATGAACCTGGGAAATCAGCTGCTAAGATCCCCTTTCTTCCTCTGGACCCTCAGCTAGGTTCCCCAGTGACTGAAGGCAGCCCCAAGTAAGAGAGGCCCTCTATATAATCTAGTTAGGTCCTGCAGTGGGGTGGAAGGGAGGAGTCAGGCAGAAGGAAGGTGTCAGCCAGCATATCCTTACAGGCTTTTAGCTAACAGGCACCTCAAGGTTTGCTTTATCAAAAGAACACTATTAAACCTTGTGGTATACGGCAAATAACCTCACATTCAACACACACCTGTGAGTAGCTAAGGGATTTTAAAAAGTTTCTCTTTAAGATTCTTTTATGTTTTCTTGCACTCTCAAATCTTTTTTAAATTTTTTTAAATCCCCCTTGATAGTATCAGGTTTGATTTGCACTACAAGGCAGGGCTAGAGGCCCTCTTGAGCCATGCCTCCAGCCCTCAAATTATATATATTGGTGTTACTGGGGTTTGAACTCAGGGCCAACACCTTGAGCCACTCCACCAGCCCTTTTTTTGTGATAGGTTTTTTTGAGATAGGAACTTGCAAACCATTTGCCCAGGCTGGCTTCAAACAGCGATCCTCCTGACCTCTGCCTCCTGAGTAGCTAGGATCACAGGCGTGAGCCACCGGTGCCTGCCTCTCTGTATGCCTTTTAAACTGCTCTCATACCACGAGCAATTGACAAGGACATAGGACATTCTAAGGAGGTGAATAAATAAGAACTGAAGTAGGGTAAGCTAGTCCTGCTGTTTTCTTTTTGTTTTTTTGGGTGGCAATGGGGTTTGAATACAGGGTTTCATGTTTGCAAATCAGGTGCTCTACCACTTGAGCCACATCTCCAGTCCCACAGACTGCTATTTTTTTTGTCGGTGAAGGTAGACCTTTATTAAGGAATTGTGGGGACAACAGAGGGGTGGGAAGCCTCTGTCCTTCTAGGCTGCTGAGTCCTCCTGGTGGCTGGCAGCACGTTGCTCAGCTCCTCCTGCTTCCTCTTGACAAGGAAGTACATCCCCACCTCTTGCTTGATGAGCTGGAGGGCTGGCATGTCCTTGGAGACCTTGAGCTGCTCCAGGGCTCGCTGCTTATAGAGAGCAAAGCTGCACACCTCTCATATCATGTCCTGCAGGAACCTGGGGTGCTTGGGGCGCCATGGCACGGGCTGTGCTGCCCTCTGACCCTTGTTAAGGCCCGTGGCTGCTGTGGCAGAAGGGCCACGACTATGCCTAACTCTGGGATATCTACTCCACACTGCTTTCTTTTCTTTTCTTTCTTTTTTTTTTTTTTTGGTGGTACTGGGCCTTGAACTCAGGGCCTTCACCTTGAGCCACTCCATCAACCCTATTGTTGTGAAGGGTTTTTCGAGATAGGGTCTCGCTAAACTGTTTGCACAGGCTGGCTTCACATCATGATCCTACTGTTCTCTGCCTCCTGAGTAGCTAGGATTAGAGGTGTAAGCCATCAGCGCCCAGCTTCCAGATTGCTTTCTTAACTTACAAAATAAAATATCTGTTTGAGGTCTGCTTCAGTCTTTTTTTTTCTTTATTCATTTTTTCATATGTGCATACATAGTTTGGGCCATTTCTGCCCCTCTCCCCCAGCTTTGAGCCTTTTTAACATAAAATGGTATGCTTAGTTTGTGCCTAATCAAGTCAAGCAAAAGACTAAACAACTTCTCTCATTCAGGCCAACAAAAATGCACGTTGTGTATTTGGAACTACAACTTATTTCACTGATATATCCTTAACTTTGAACATGTTATAATATACAGAATATATTCGTGCATATGCAAAAATTTCCTAAATACACAGGGATGTCATAAAATTCTAAAGATGGGTGGTAAGTTCTTGGTTTTATTCAGGCAAGCAATGTTTTTATATTTGTGAAAGAAAATTGCTAAGTGTAGGATAGTGGTTTCAGACTGTTCAAAAGATTAAAAAAAAAAAAAAAAGCCCAACAAATAGTTCCCAAGACCATGCCTCGAAAATACCCAACACAAGAAAGAGGTGGCAGAGCTGCTCAAGTGGTAGAGCACCTGCCTAGGCCTGAGTTCAAAGTTCTACCAAAAAAAAAAGACTACAATTACCAAACGTTAAGAATGCCTATGCAAATCCACTTATACACACACAATTGTTTTGGTAGGACTGGAGTCTGAACCGAGGACTTTTGTGCTCACAAAGTAAGCACTCTCCCACTTGAGCCGCACCTCCAGTCCATTTTGCCCTAGCTGTTTTGGAGATGAGGGGCTGGAGAACTATTTGCCTGGGATGGTCTCGAACCTCTATAGTCCAGATCTCAGCCTCCCAAGTAGCTAGGATTACAGGGGTGGGCACACAGGAACAAACCTAAGGACAATCGAAATTCGCCCGATTACCAAGAGCCCTGGTGGCCAGGACGTGTTGGTCCCGAACCAGGCTGGCAGCTTCACTTCCAGCAGTTTAACAAGTGACAGAACAAAGGCCGACCTAAGTAAGCCTCCAAAACCGAGCCTGTTGTGTCGGGGTGGCACGGTAGGTTCCAAAGGCTTCTGTCATTTTAGCCACTGCCACCGATCTTCATTTACTAGAGGGGCTTTCCGCTCCGAGGCTCCAGCAGCCGCTGCAGTGGCTCAGACAGGTGGGGGCCGCAGTGCCCGTGCATCGGCGCGACCTGTCGTCAGCAGGTGTCGCGGGGAGGTGGCCCCAGCTCACGCAGACGCGCGGTGACTGCTTAAAGGCGGTGATGGAAACCGCTCATCACCCGGCCAATCCAGGGCTTCAGGAGCGCCGGGTGTGTTTCAGAACTGGTCTCCAGCGCAGGCCGCGAGGGCAGGGCATCCGACGGACGGCGCGCCCCAGGAATCCCGTCGCAGGATGGGCTCGGACCAAGCATCTCGTTCGGCCGCAGCTGCGGTGGCGTCACCCGGGCCGGTGCACCCGCCCCATCAGGTCGCCGTCGCCGTCGCAGCCTCCCCGGCTGAGGCCCCGCCCCCTCCCCGCGCACGCGCCGCCGATCGGCCGCGTGGGGTGACGGGAGGACCGCCCCGCTCCTGCTTCCTGGACTGGCCCACTATGACGCCGTGGGGGGGACCGGCTCCCCCGAATCGCTGGGGCTCGCTCATAGGAGGGTGACGGCCTCAGACCTCTAGTCTCGGGAATGGACTGGCTGGTGCTAGCGCCCCAAATGCCGCTTTCCCTGGCAGGGGAGATGCCAGGAGGCCCCGGAGCCTGGGCCGCTCCCGGTGCTCCCCCTCGGCGGTCGAGCGCGATGGTGCATCCTCCAGGGCGCGCGCGGCTCCCGCGCTTGGGGCGCTCGGCACGGGCGGGGGCGCGGCGGGAGGGGGAGAGGGACCCGATTTACCGGGCCGGACTGGGGCCGCACGGGCCAGGCGGTTGGTGGGGCGAGCGGGGGTGTCGGCCGTGGCGGGGTCCGGGGGAGGCGGGGGGTCGGGCGCCGCCGCTCAGCCCTCCGCGCCGCCGCGATCATGTCGGACCCGGCGCCCGAAGTTCCAGAGGAGATGTTCCGCGAGGTCAAGTACTACGCGGTGGGCGACATCGACCCACAGGTACCGTCTGCGCCCCTCGGCCTGCCCGCACCTTGTCCCGCAGGGTCCCCCGCACCTCCGCGGGCGCGCGCCCGGGCGCAGGACACCGGGCCGCCAGACAGGCCTGGCCGCGGGGGAGGGCGCTGGCGGGGTGCGAGGGCGCATAGGGTGAGCCGCGCCGGGTCCCCCGAGAGCTGCGTCCCTGTCCCGTTCCCCACCGCGACCCCTGCGCCCGGCCCCTGTCCCCGTTCCCACCCGCAGGGCTCCGTCCCTCGGGGGCCCTGCAGCCCCCACTGCTCCCCGCGCCCCTTTCGGGAGCCGGAGTGCTCGGGAGCGCATCCTCTCTCGGCCCCGCTGCGGAGGTCTGGGCTCCAGAAGAACGGGTCAGACAGTGGGGGGGGGGGGCGAACGGGCGGTGGGGACAGTGGCCGCCGCTGCGGGGGTGGCAGCGCAGGTCCTGTGCCCGCGGAGAGCGCTCGCTGCACCCCGGTCCCTGCCGGTGCAGAAGGGCTCCGGCTTTCTTCGCTCCATTTCCCGAATTGGATGAATTGCACAGTAAATGCGGAGAGTGCCCTGGTGACACCGTCCCAGTTAGCATTTAATTTTCCCACGGCAAAGGATATTGTGGGTTTTCTCAAGTCATAGGTGCATTTCGTCACCACGCTTATTAAACGAGGATAGAAATACATCTTGGTTTAATGTTTTCTTCATGTCAGGCTGCAAAACATTTCCTTTCTTAACACTGCACAGTTGTGCTGCCTTGGGTGTCATCTTGTGTGGTTATGTTACCTTGGGTGTCATGTCAGCAGTGCGTTGTTTGAGGAAAGGAGGGCTCAGTGACCAGAGCTTAGGCACGGAGGTTGACGTTTAACACGTAAACTTGGGCGGTATAGAAGGAATTGTGGAAGACCTATTGATCTTGGCCTTCCAGAAGCTTGTGCCTGTATCTTCCTAACTTAACTCCCTTGGGTCCAATTTCCATTGTAACTTTAGGACACTGAGACCTCTAGTTTTGGATGTACAGAGTTAAACAGGTGTTGAACCCAGAGTGATCAAAGTGAGTGAGTGGAACAGCATGGCCTTTTCCAGTATTGATTTACACCTCCCTTCCCCATCACCACAACCAATCATTCCTCTCATTACTTTCCTTCCTGCTCTTTAAGACTTTGACTCTTTCAGGGTACTTGAATTGTGTGTTCAAACCAGGAGTAAGCTAAACTGGAGCCATATCTGTTCGACTGTGACTCAAATCTAAGTGTTTAAAAATGTCCTTGGCAAAACGTTAATCTGAAGTAGTGTGTTTCTAAAAAGTTTACAGCCAGAAGAACTGTTCTCTGAACTTGTAAATACAGATTCAGAAAGTGCACAGGTGCTGAATTTTAGTACAGCTTAGGTATTAAGATAGGTACCAGGTATAATATGAAGATCCAGGGCAGTAGGAGAGGAGCACATCTGAGTGCCTACTGTTGCAGTGGGAGTTGATAGGTGCTGTAAGGGAACGTGTTTCTCCCCTGGGATGCGTAGGGCAATACCACCAAAATGTCATTTCAGCTGAGTTTTGGTTTTTTTTTTTTTTTTTTTTAAATGGGACTGGGGTTTGAACACAGGCACTCTACTGCTTCAGCCACACCTCCAGTCTATTTTGCTCTGGTTATTTTGGAAATGGGGTCTTGAGAACTATCTTCCTGGGCTGGCCTTGAACATCGATCTTACTGATTTTAGCTTTCCAAGTAGCTAGGATTACAGACATGAGCCACTGACACCTGACTTAATTGGGTCTTGACATCAGCAGAGGAGTGTAAGAGATTATTTTCTTAATGAGGAATGTACGTGCTAGCAGTGGAAGGCATTTATGTGTTTGGGACATATCAGGCTGGGCGCTATCAGGAGTGAAGTGGCAAGATAAACCTGGTGTGAGGTGGGAATACCCAGCATGGAGACTGGCAAGAAGCTGTTACTGGTTTTGGTGTCCTTAAAGTCTGAAAATCTTGAGTTGTTTCCAGTGGCGTTTTGGTGCAGAGGGCTGGGTTGCAGGGAGTTGAGTGAATAGAGAATGAGAGTGAAGACAGAAAGGTAAGCCTGTTGCTTCAGGAAATTCGTCATGAGAAGGAAGCAGAGAGGGGCCTGGGAAGAGAAAACGCATATGGAGGTGAGGCTGTTGCATGCAACAGAGTTCACAGAGTTTCGAGAGGTGCACAGGTGGAGTGCATGTGTGAAGTGGAAGATGCTGTGGTCAAGGGAAGAAGGAAAGGTGGGATGGCTCATGGCTGGTGACCATGGATTTTTCACTTATCATACAATAGTTACATCTGCTTTACTTCATATTTACTAATAATCAATAAACTATTCTAAAAAGTTTGCTGCCTTGTTGAACAGTTTAGCTATGTGGACACCATGTCACCTTTGTACTTGGTATCCACTTTCAGTTCGTGTTATCAGTCAGCTGTTCCTTGACCCTCACCTTTCCTGGCTGCTTGATGCTGCTTTCCTCTGATGTGTTGCCAGTATTTGACTTCCGGGTAACCATCCATGCAGTGCATTTTGGAGGACCTCATTCACTCTTGGAGCTTTGGCCTTCATGTATATAATAACGGGCGATTCCATTGCTGGACATACAGGTCCTTTCTTTGATGTAACTGGAGGCCTTTTGCCAGGTATCACATGGCACCAAAAAACAGTGTGCCCCAAACTGAAGGCTGTGCTCTTCCCCCGCCCTCTGCACTTTTGCTGCATTCCTCAGGGAGTGACCAGCATTTCTATCTTGCCTTTCTCTGTGTCCCTTCCAATAGTCAGGCTAGTTCTGTAACATCTTCTTCCTATTGCTAACAACATTCTTTAGTTCAGTTACCTGCCTGGATTATTACAGTTAGTGTCTTAACTGGATTTCTGTGTGTGGTTACGTGGCCAAACCCAATCCTTTCTTATGGTGATGGTCTTCTTTTTATACGATCTGGTCGTTCCATGTGAAATCCTTCTGAAGTACACACTGTTGACATAGCATCTGAGGCTAGACTATCTGTGGTCTGAGTTCACCTGCCTTGTACCTTGAATGAATGCTGTGTGTCTCCCTACCCCCCTTTTGTGTATTTCTGCCTGACTGATACTTATAAATCATGTGAGGATTCTGTTCATGGATCTCTTCTTCCAGAACCTCCCTAATTGTGGTGAAGTCACCTGTCTCCAAGCCTTCAGGTTGGAGGCACAGGTGGAGGGTCCTTCATAGCCTGGTCTTAGCAGTGACTGGTATGTCCTGGTCTGTCCTACTCATCTGTCTTCAGGACAGGTGATAACTGGTAATGGCTCACAGTGAGTCAAGATTTGCTGCTTTTTATTGTCCCAAATGTCTCATTGGCATATTATTCAGAGTAAAAAGTCTTTTAATTCTATGTAGGGTACATGGGGGTGTTTTTATTAAAAGTTTCTATTATTTTCAATAATTATTTGCATAAATCAGAATTGTGATACAGTATCTTCCATTTTTATGTTTTTTTTCTTTTTTTTTTTTAAGGTTATTCGGCTTCTTAAAGCTGGAAAAGCCAAAGAAGTCTCGTACAATGCACTAGCCTCACACATAATCTCAGAGGATGGGGACAATCCTGAGGTTGGAGAGGCTCGGGAAGTCTTTGACTTACCTGTTGTGAAGGTCAGTAGAAAGTCTCGTGTCTTTTCATTATGTATCTTGAAAGTAATGCATTGCACTTCGGCATAGCTCTTTTCAGGGTTTGCTGCAGTTCTGCCTTACGTGGAAAGTTACCAGGTAAATAAAATCCTTGAACATTTTAGTAGCCTCCCTTAGCTTCAGGCCTTTCAGTTCCATCACCCTGTAGCAGGGTTTCTATGGAAGTCATTTGAGGTCAGCCTTTACACCTGCTGTAGGAGCGACCATGTGCTGTCATGTCCCACAAGCTCTCCAAGCAAGGAAACCTGTCCTAGGAAATGGTCTGTTGCTGTGAATGACATGGGTATTTGCATTATCCTGGGAAAGAAAGTATGTTTAACTCTAAAAGCAGGCAAAGGCCTCTCAAGAGGCAACTTCTGTACCAAGGCTGCTTTCCTTCCCTCTGGTGGCAGGTGGTGGTGATTTCCAGCTAGATCAGCTTGAAGGGAGTCCATTCTCCCTTTAACTATGCCATGTAACTCTGAGAAGGGCCATAGTGACCAAGAGTCACATTGTCCATCTGTTGGCCATCTGGACTGCTATCTAATCTGACCAACAGGCCATTTATTGTAGAAAGGGACAGGGGTCTTTGGCTGGTGGATAAGTTATTCAGATATTATTGATATATATACTGTGCTGCTCTGTTGTGGCAAACTTGTTAATTTTGTAATGATCCTTCAGTTTTATTTCTAATCTTCTGTATTATATGTTTGTTTTAAAATATTTCTGCACTGCTGGAGGCATGACATAAGTGTCAGAGCACTTGCGTACCAAGTTGTAGGCCCTGAGGTTAACCCCCCCACAGTACTGGCACAAACAAAAAGCGTGTTGTGTAGCGTAGTTCTGTACTGCTATTATTTTCCCTCTTTGTGCTATTAAATGCTTTGCCTTAAAGTCAGTATTAAAACTATTGTGATTTAATAATAACGAGAGTTAGTAGTGAAGACAGATTGCCATTGAGTCAATCAGGGAGCTGCTAGGAGTGGTAACTTCACAGTGTCCGAGGTCTAAAGCTTCTTTGCAGATTTACAGACTTCACTTTTGCAAACAAGCCTGCAAGTGGATCTGCTTCAGGAGGAGGTCCTCATAAACCAAACTCTCACGGGATTGCTACCTAAGTCAGAGTGGTAAATACAGCGGTCACATACGTATACTGGCATTTGTGTGGCAGCTTGGCCAGCTCCGCCTCATTCTGGCCATGTTGTTTGTGAAGACTGATGGTCAGCAGGTTTCCTGTCTGTTCAACTGATGCCACATTGTAAACTTGATAGCAAGACTAGGCTATGAGCCTAGGCAACCTCTTTCTTCCATCTGGCTCATTCCGTTGCTCTTCCTGCAAATTTTCTTTCTCTCAGACAGTAGTCTGGAGCCATGGTTGCCTTAAAGCGACTTTGCATGTCTTACATAAATTTTACAGTGAAAAGAATGAATACTTTAGTATCCTGAAGTGAAAATCATATGTAAGACAATTTATCACGTAATTAAAAAAATATATGTAAGGGGCTGAGGGTGTAACTTAGTGGTAGAGCAGTGCTTAGCATGCATAAGGTCCTAGGTTTAATCCCTAGCACCAAAACAAGCAAACATAAATTGCCCAACATGAAATGTATATATGTACATATTTTCAATATGTAAATGCTTGGGCACAACCACATGAGGGAATGCAGTGAAATTGCCAGATGCTGCTGTCTGCAGGATTGCTGAATGTCGCCAGTACAAGTAGAGCCCCATAGCCCACAAGTGAAGTTGCCACTTGTGAAGTGACATTTCAGAATGATGATCATCCATCTCTTGGCAAGCATGTAAGCTAAGCAGAGCTGTCCGCTTTCATTTTACACAGTAGTTGTATTCCTGAGAAAGTCAGTATATAACAAAACCGCACAGAAATTCCTAGGACTTGACAGTTATCAGTTAGTCAGCCGTGGCGGGCTATGTCCCCATCTGACTTTTGCACACTTTGGCTGTACTTCTTGGATAGAGGCCTGTTTCATTGGCACCTGCTTCGGCATCCCAGCCTACTTGTTATGTGCGGCAGTGTCTGTGTTGTCTGGGGACTGTCGTGTTGCATTACAGGATGATAGGGCTTGTCAGAGCTGATCCAGCAGTTGGTTCTCTCCAGGGCAGTTCTGAACCTCCTATTCTTAGTCTCAACCATGGCCTGTCTTATTTAGATCCTGCTGCTGATGGTTGAGTATGAATTCAACTGACTGAAGGCTGAGGCCTGGATCCCTAGAGGCATATCACTTGGTCTTTACCTGATATTAAATTTGACAGTGCATTTGACAAATAAGGCATTCTTATGCACAGTAACAGTTTATCCATCATTTACATATTTGAATTTTATAGATGTGTAAAGCTTGAATTTTAGGCCCCAAAACTTTAAAAATGACTTTTTAAATGGAAACATTTTTCTCAGTGGCCTTGGGACATCATTAGACATGTCAATTATGCTGACTTGTAGTGGGCTTATTTTTGTATATTCTTCCTTGCCTCTGGGATAAGTTGATTCTTTTTACTTTATTTTTATAGGTCTTCATTTCTGCTTTATCAATCTGTCCTACTTCTTAACTCCATTATTCTGTCTCCACATATCTGACCTGAGGCCTCAGGGTGGCTGTCTCTTTCTTGGACTGGATTTTGTGGTAGCTACTCCAGGAGTCTTTAACTGGGAAAGCCTACCCAGCTCCTGGGGAGGGCTCGCCAGGGTGTGTGATGTGTGGATGGGTGTAAGGGGATGCAGTTCTAGATTGGTTCTTAGGTGCTTGAGAATACATCTGGGGTCACTATAGCCTCTCTCCCACTTAACACAAGAAGAATCCCATCTTCCCCCATTCTAACCTTACAGTGCATTGCCCCATACTGTAAAAATCTTCTGGACACCAGAGCACCAGACCACCGAATAGCTAGCAGTACTGTTTCAGGGAATCTCCCTTAGAGCTCAGCTGTGTCTTCACTGGCTCCAAGCAGCTTCTGGTGTCACTTTGAGAAGAAAGTGTGGCCCACATGAGGATAAAGTCAGAAGAATCAAAGCCAGTACAGATTATCGATGCTAGCTCAATACTTACATGTATAGGAATTTCCCCAGGATTAGGAGAAAGTGGAAGAAATGTGGGCTAAAGTATGTGGATGGACACATCCAGGGCCTTCTTTCAGATTTGATGTGCTTTATGCCATAAATTGTCTAAAACATAAATAAGTTGTCATGAAATAATTATCCCAAGTAAAACTAATCTTTGTCTTACAAAACATTTAATATTCCTGTCCTCTCAGAAAATAGGCTTTGAACATTGTGTTGGAAAATGAACATGTCAACCTAAAAGTGATGCTGGGGATGCACTGTTGTCTGCAGCTCATGTATAAACACAATTTGACAATGATTAGCTTGGATGTAACTTGCACAAGAGCAGGGGCTGCATTTTCTTGTTGGTTGCATTTTGCGTTTTTCTTGTCCCCAGCGCCTTGTGCCATGTCTATACAAAATAGATGGCTGAATATTTGATTGCATCGGTGGATGAGCAGTGAGTGCTCTGTGTGCTCCCTGTGGGTGAGGTTTCTGGAAGGTAGCTGGCTAGCCAGGATGTTGCTATATTTTAGGAATTTTTGAGCTACGGCTGTCAGAATAAGGATAATTAGTTTAATTTAATATAAAAGGAGATCATTTTCCAAGAATGCAAAGTGCCCAAAAGATAGTAATTCATCTGTTGTGATAGTTAATGTGAGTTTTGGAATTCATAAGTTTATCAAGCAGTTAGAGTTACTTGTTTATTTACTTTTTTGTGCTGCTGGGGTTTGAACTCAGGGCTTTGGGCTTGCAAGGCAAGTGCTGCATTGCCTGAGCCACACATCCAGCCCAGAAGTAATTTGTATGGTTTATAAACAATGTATTGCTTTGGCTTTACTTAAGAAAAAAAAAAGGAAAGGTTTTATGAATTTGGATTCAGCTAAACTTAGGATTCAAGAAGGAGTGTATACACTGGGCACCAGTGGCTCACACCTGTAATCCTAGCTACTCAGGAGGCAGAGATCAGGAGGATCAGTGGTTCAAAGCCAGCTATAGTTTGTGAGATGCTATCTTGAAAAAAAATACACTACAAAAAAGGGCTGGTGTAGGCCCTGAGTTCAAACCCCAGTTCTCCAGTTACCCCTCCCAGCTCCTCCCCCCACTCCAAAAAAAAGGAATGTATGAGGACTGACTATACCTTGGTGGGGCTGTGGTGGTAAGTGGAGTGGGTAGCTGTCTCACCCATCTGGTTGTGAGGTCAGTAGTAATAAATAAGTGTGCCAGTCTAGAATTTAAATGTCTATGTATCGTTAGTTTTTAAAAATATAGTAGCATTTTGTTCTAGAGTTGGTTTCTGGCTTGGGCTTTAATAACTGATTGTTGTGATATTGCTGCTACTTGGATACTCATGCTTGTAGGTGGAGGTTTTATAATCAGTCACCTTAGCTTTTAATTTATAGAAGCACCACCAGTGAGATCTTGCCGTTTTCATTACAAATCGTAATTGTTTTGACTTGAGTTAATCTTTTCTTTTTCAGCCTTCTTGGGTGATTTTGTCCGTGCAGTGTGGAGCACTTCTGCCGTATCCTTTTTGAGTTTGGGGAGGGGAGGATGACTACGGGTAAGACTGAAGTGACAGCTACTGAGTGAAAAGCAGGACTGTTAATTAGGGTCAGCTGTTGCTCTCTACTCTTTACCCACTGTTTCTATCTTGTGTCAGATGTTCCATACCTGGTCCTTGTCAAAAGGGGGACCATCTGTGACAAGCATTTCTAGCTAGGACCTGGAGGCACAAGTTCTAGTCCTTTCAACTTTTGTGATACCACTTGGACAAAGAATACTTCTATAGTTATAAGTGTACAGAAACCAAATCATGAATGATTTGAAGAGTAAATTGGGGAGAAAGCCTGAGAAGAAAATTTCTAGCTTTTATAGCATGCATTGTTAATCTTTAACTACATCGGATGCAAGGTTTGTTTGCTTGTTTGTTTTGGGATGGGGTTTGAACTTGGCAAAGCAGGTGAGCTAACGCTTGAGTCACACCTCCATTTCAGAGCTGGGGTGTTGCAAACTATTTACCTGAGCTGAACCTTGAACTGAGCCCCCAAGTAGCTGAGATTATAGGCATGAGCCATTGGTGCCCTGCTGGATGGAAGGTTTATTAATTCCATACAGCCGTTTAGCACTTGCTGTGGGTGCTGGAAAGAGTGATGAAAAAGACATTGTTCTGCCCTCACAGAGTGTCCTCTAGTGTGTTGGTCATATAGCATTTCTTGCATGTGACTCTGCCCCAGGAGTCAGAAATGAGGTGTTCAGCAGGCCCACTGTTCACCTTTCTAGGCCTGGTGGCTTCCGATTCACTCTGGAGGATGAAGCTTCTCTGGAGGTTCACTACACAGAACCTGACTCTGGAAATCACTTTTAAGGATTCCTGGTGTCATTCACTGGTGATGTTGAAATTGTAGATTTAGGCAAGAGATTATTATGTCATTCACGCTGTTTGATTTTGCAGCTTTACTAGGTCGTTTGTTTGAATGCAGTTATTGCCCTATTGAATCAATGCAAACAAAGAATCTTATAATGAAATATTTACAGACGTCCTCAAAGAACAGAGAAGTACTCATTTAAAAGCGCTTCTTGGGAAATTTATAGAACTTTAGCAATTACAACTCAAAAATTCAAAAATTTCTCATACAAAATCTAAAGAGTTGAAGAAAATCAGTTCTTACTTTTCACTGTTTTTAATTTTGTTTGGTTTTCTTTATAAGTAGAAGGAAAGAAAAGATTGTGAGAGGGGTAGAATTTCTGAAGAGAGTCCAGTTTTCCTGTTCTGGGTCATTTATTCTGCACACCAGACTTCCTCCTTAAGGAAGGAGGAAGCCACCTGGGCTGGCAGAGTGGCTCAAGTGGTAGCACATCTGCCTAGCAAAGTGTGAGGTCCTGAGTTCAACCACCAGTGCCACAGAAAAACGTTGTCACTTCACTTGAGCTCTTCCTTGCCTGTCTGTAGAAAGCCTAAAGCACCATCAGTGAGGCTCCTGAGCCTGGGACAGACAGTGCCCCCAGATTTGTTAATGCTTCCCCAGTCTAGCCATAGGAAGCCTCTGGGCTAAGGTGGGGAGGTGGAGCAGGTCTTGGACAATGGAGCTGAAGGTGTCATGTTGGGTGTACAGAGCTTAGTACAGCTAGGAAGGAGACTTTGTTGTTCTCAGTTGACCTGTGTGTTAGTAGGTGTAAGAAGGAGAAGTAGTACTTAAATCCATTTTGAGTTCTGAGCACCAGACTGTTTGAAAGCAGTCACTGGATCTGCTTTGAGTAGACTATAAAGTAGAGGCACACAGAGACCACGTGCCCCTCGTGTAACTGTGACCATGTTCTCAGTAATTAACTTGAATGAAGTTTAAAATCAACTTTAGAATTAGAAATGAGTTTGGACATTTTCTATTCTAACTTGTTTTAGAAAAGGGGAGCCTGGAGCCCAGAGGGCTTTTTTTTTTTTTTTCCATGATACTGGGGTTTGAATTTAGGGCTTCATGCTCGCCACTTGAGCCACTCCTCCAGCCTCTGAGCCCTGAATTTTGGTGAATTCACAAAGATGGTGGTGGTGATGAAGCCAGAGCTCAGACTCTTCTAGGAGGGAGTTTCTCTCCTATGCAGAAGAAGGGATCACCTTCTAAAATAAAGTTCAGACATTTTTGCTTTGCTTTTAAAACGTGTGTACTTAACGTCTGTATGTGTGTATGTGTTTATATGTGTTAACAACTATCAGGAGGTCAAGTGTCTCTCCATGAATGTGTACTGTCCATTTTATTTATGATGTAAATCAAGATTAGGTTTGAAAATGTACTTTACCGAAAATCACTTGCTTCCTTTCGTGCTTCCCACCTCTGTTTATTCCAGTCTTCTCTGCACGCTGGTCATCTTTGTCTCTTCTAAGTGGATTGAGTGGGAGGGTGGAGGTAGGGGGCTTTGCAAGTAGGCAAGTCAGGTCTGTCTGTCGGTGAAGTATGGGCTGCACTGATCTTACACCTTTGTAATCTTAATAACTACCACACAGAGTCAATGGTTTCTCTCCAGAGTCATGCCAGATTTTTTTTGGAGTTACTGCCTGCCTTTCTCAGGTAAGCATGGGTGCAGTTAGCTTTGTGCTGTGTACATGACATCTGTGTTTTCACATGACTATATTTGACCCATTGTTAACCAGTTGCCGAGAAGCCTTGTGTTAAACTTGACTGTGTACTCTGAATTCGTCTGGCATGCTTATAATTATTTAGATACTTGTGCTTATCTTTACGATTTAAAGTTTTAAAGGAAAAATAGTCTTTCTAATTTAAAGAAATTACAAAGATAAAACTTGAATATTAAAAGTATTTAAGGACTGGAGGTGTGACACAAGCAGTAGAGCACTTACCTGGCAAACTCGAAACCCTAAGTGCAAATTCAGCACCACCAAAAAAAATTGTTTTAAATACTTTTCTTCTCTCCTTTTTGGTGGTACTGGGTTTGCAATTAGGGCCTCATGCTTGCTTGGCAAGAGTGCTACCTCTTGAGTCATGCCCCTAGTCCATTTTGCAATTTTTAGTTTGTTTGTCAGATAGGATCTTTTGCTCAGTCTGCCTCAGACTACAGTTCTCCTATCTCTGCCTCCCAAGTGCTGAAATTACACGTGTGGGCCACCATGCCTGGCTCTTTAAATGAAATTAAAAGATGACAAGGAAAAATTCAGTCGGAACTCCAGTCTAAGAATTTTTTTTTTTTATTTCTTTTTGCGGCACTGGGGTTTGAACTCAGGGCTGAGGGCTTACTAAGCAGGTACTCTACCACTCGAGCCACTCTTCCAGCCCAAGAATTTTCTTAAATAATCTGAATTTTCATTATATATCAATAAGAAAAAAACAAAGACTAGCGGATAAGTCAGAAGTGACTTTACAGTTTGTAAAAAGGAGTATGTGTAATAAGCATATCAGAATACTTGATATACTGTCTAAGCAAAGACATGAGCATTTTTTAATAGCAGAGACATAAGAATCTTTGCTTAGCAGATTTGTAACTGTATTCAGTGCTGGTGGAGATGCTAAACACAGACTGTCCTCGTTGCTGGTGAGAGTGGAGTCAGTGTAACACTTCCTCTATAGAATTCGGCCGATGGAGAGCCTTCAAATACTCATTAAGTTAAGAACAGAGTGATTCATAGAGATGTTCCAGGCATTACTTGTAAGAAGGTAAAACTGGAAACAAGGAGGTCACTATTTGGAAATGTTTAAGAAACTCTTTATTAGGCATATTTATACAGTGTGTAGATCTGTAGCCACTTTCGAATTAGGTTTTATGGAAATATATTAAGACATGGAAATTTGGGTGTGTGTGTGTGTATGTGTGTGTGGTATTGAGTTTGAACTCAGGGTGCTCTACCACTTGAGCCTTTCCACCAGCCCAGGAAATGTTTTAATTGGAAAAAAAGAAAAAGCGGGATATAAGATAGGCTTATACAGTGTTTTGCCTCAACCAATTGAAATAGAAAAAAAAAAAAAAACTGAAAGGAGGAACCAAAATGGTCAAAGTGGTTAACTCTGAGTAGTGAGAGGAGTGGGTATTTCACATTTTCAGTATATTCTGTTCTCCTAACTCCCAGCTAAGGAAAGCCTTAAACTGTAATAAAAGTGATATAAAAACCAGTTTGGTATTGCTTAAACTCATTTAAGAATTATATGGAACAGCCGGGCTGTAATCTTAGCTACTCAGGAGGCAGAGATCAGGAGGGTTGAGGTTCAAAGCCAGCCTGGGCAAATAGTTCCTGAGACCCTTTCTCAAAAAACCCATTAACAAAAATGGGCTGGTGGAGTGGCTCAAGTGGTAAGAGCACCTGCATAGCGAGTGGTGCTGAGTTCAAACCTCAGTGCTGCCAAAAAAGAAAAAAAAATACATGAAGCAATTTGTTTGGAATTCATTGTCATGGGGCAGCAGAGGATGCAGTGGTGAGTGCTCCTGCCCCTGGCAGTGCCCGGCCCACCCATCGTTTGGTGCCCTCCAGTGGTATTTCTGAGGAGGCTTGTGTTCTTCTATCTTAGAGCAAGGGTACTGGGCCAGCTAAAAGGGGGTTGGATGCATTCTCCCTTCTTCCTCAGCTGGGTGGTAGATTAGGTAACCTAGTGTTCAGTTACCATCGTCAGTTAGCGCAAGTGATGTTACCTGTCTGAACGCAGTTCCTCCTGTGTCCAGGCAGTGAGTAAGTAAGTTTATCTGTGCTGTGCTCTTCTGTTTCTTATAAATTCTGGAAGTTCGTTAAAATTATTAAATCCTCTCTTATTGTTTCTACCGCATCAGTTTGATGCAGATCCTTAAAAAAAGCAAAATTGCCTCTCTAAATAGGATTTGGATTTTTCAGGTCTGGTACAAATGTATATTTATATGATCTTTAAAGTTGGCTAAAATGAAAACCTTTTAATGCTAGGCACTATTGTCATATGTAGTTTTTATTGTTTCCTTATACTTCTCTGTATGTTACAAATTTATAATCAGCATATCAGAAAAATTTTAAGATTGAAAACATTTTATCACTATTACTATTTTTGCACAAGCCCAGTGTACCTTGGCTGCAGTGTACTTTTCACTCCATTGTACTGCTGTGATTGGACTTCTGGGTTGCAGAGCAACCCTCTCTAGAAAGGGATTCAGTGAGAGAGGGAGAGAGAGAGAAGGCCTTGCTGGGTTGGGATTAGGAAGGGAGCCTTGTGGGCCATTTTCAGAGGTGTAGCAGACTTGTCTTGGTGAAATACAACCAAAAGTATGTGAGTGTAAGATGATTACAGGGCTTTAAATTAGATATTACTAAATATTAACTATAAATTTAGTGATAAAGAACACATAATTAGTTTTAGAAAAAGGTAGTAGTTAGGTTTATCAGAGGTTGTGCTATATGTAGTAGATATTATAAACTATACATAGTGGGGTTACAGAACATGTGAGCCATTTCGTACGATAGTAATGCTGTCAGGTGGCACAGGTGTGAATGCATGTGCTTACAAAAGAAGGTGTCACCCACAGAGTGGGAGAAAATATTTGCCAACTATACATCAGACAAAGGACTGATAACCAGAATATATAGGGAACTTAAAAAACTAAATTCTCCCAAAACTAATGAACCAATAAAGAAATGGGCAAGTGAACTAAACAGAACTTTCTCAAAAGAAGAAATTCAGATGGCCAAAAAACACATGAAAAAAGGCTCACCATCTCTAGCAATAAAGGAAATGCAAATTAAAACCACACTAAGATTCCACCTCACCCCTGTTAGAATAGCCATCATCAGCAACACCACCACCAACAGGTGTTGGCGAGGATGCGGGGAAAAAGGAACCCTCTTACACTGTTGGTGGGAATGTAGACTAGTACAACCACTCTGGAAAAAAATTTGAAGGGTACTTAAAAAGCTAGACATTGATCTACCATTTGATCCAGCAATCCTACTCTTGGGGATATACCCAAAAGACTGTGACACAGGTTACTCCAGAGGCACCTGCACACCCATGTTTATTGCGGCACTATTCACAATAGCCAAGTTATGGAAACAGCCAAGATGCCCCACCACTGACGAATGGATCAAGAAAATGTGGTATCTATACACAATGGAATTTTATGCAGCCATGAAGAAGAACGAAATGTTATCATTCGCTGGTAAATGGATGGAATTGGAGAACATCATTCTGAGTGAGGTTAGCCTGGCCCAAAAGACCAAAAATCGTATGTTCTCCCTCATATGCGGACATTAGATCAAGGGCAAACACAACAAGGGGATTGGACTTTGAGCACATGATAAAAGCGAGAGCACACAAGGGAGGGGTGAGGATAGGTAAGACACCTAAAAAATTAGCTAGCATTTGTTGCCCTTAATGCAGAGAAACTAAAGCAGATACCTTAAAGCAACTGAGGCCAATAGGGAAAGAGGACCAGGAACTAGAGAAAAGGTGAGATCAAAAAGAATTAACCTAGAAGGTAACACCCACGCACAGGAAATCAATGTGAGTCAACTCCCTGTATAGCTATCCTTATCTCAACCAGCAAAAACCCTTGTTCCTTCCTATTATTGCTTATACTCTCTCTACAGCAAAATTAGAGATAAGGGCAAAATAATTTCTGCTGGGTATTGAGGGGGTGGGGGGGAGAGGGAGGTGGTGGTAAGGGAGGTGGTGGGGGCAGGGGGGAGAAATGACCCAAGCCTTGTATGCACACGTGAATAATAAAATTAAAAAAAAAAGGAAAGGTGTCAGTGTAGCTTCATGGTGATGTAAGCCTTGACTGATGAGTGAGATCTGAACGGAGCTGGAAGGCTATGCAGACCTGTATTGTAAGGATGAGGGTCTTGCAGATACAGCAAGGTTAAGGAGAAATCAGACATGGTTTCTAGGAGGATGGTTACCAGGAGACTATGATCATGCTAAGGCTCTGTGTTTGGTGTGGAGGGAAGGTATGGTTTTGTAGGGACTGGATGGAAATCCAGGTGGTATGAGTTTGGTAAAGAAGCCAGCAGGTTTCTTCCTCACTTTTTAATATTTAATTTACATATTTAATTACAGACCACAATTCAAATCAATTAAACACCTTCTTCAAATCAATTACCATTGCCTTTGATGATTGTGGGAGAAATTGGCCTGAATGCTGTGGGTACGACAGAGGCCAGGGTGGACGTTAGCACTTTAAACTGGTAGAGAGCCAAGGGTTACTTGAAGAAGATTCAGATCTGTGTCCACAGACAACCTGGACCATAGCAACAGAGGGACTAGCACAGAGGGATTCGGCAGGTCCCGGTGACTTGGGACTGCTGTGGCACAAAGACAGAGAAGCCAGCACTCTGACAGGTCTGTGCCTTGTCATAGAAATCTGGAGTCAGAGCTATCGTGGTTTCAGGTTAGGAGCTCAGGGGAGTGGCCACATCACTGTTGGAAAAGTATCCAGAGCCAGTTTGTGAGAGAAGATGGTGATGTTGGTGCAGAACAGCTTGGGGTACAGATGAACTATCCACACGTACTGACTTGGAGGTCACATGGTGTGAGAAGAATCCCCAGGAGCATAGTAGAGAGAAGAGCAGCTAACCCAGAGGAAAGCCTTGGGTAACACGCACAGTTACAGAGCTCTGATGGGAAAGAGCCTGAAAACAAACAGGACATAGGAAGAGTCAGATAGGATTTTTACAAGCCAAGTATGAAGTCAGACTGCCATGTTTTATTTCTATTACTGGGAAGTAGCCACATCTCAGGTAAAGGTTAAGAGCGTGAATTTGTAGCAGATCATTGCACAAAGTTTTGTGTGTTCCCTCTGTCCTTTTCTGTGACTCAGGAGCAGGAGGAGGAAAAATATACTGATTGGCTCACTGAGCGTCACGCAGGCTCAGGGGTCTAAGCAGATCTTGGATTCTGGGCTGAGAAGACTCGTGTAGTCACCCTGGGGACAGGAGGTGGGTATCCCATGGAGGAACAGCTGGGTGAGGATGCCGTGGCCCAAGTGCAAATGTCTTGGTTGTTAGAGGTGGGAGTCTGTGGTTCAGGAGGTGCTGCTTACAAGCTGAACAGAGGTTCTCCTCACCACCTCCAGGTGAAAGGTAGTTTTATCTGGTGCTAACTTCATCCAGGCCAGGGGCTGGGCCTGGAGTACACAAAAAGGGAAACAACTTAGCAAGATTTCCAACAGTATTTTATATACCCTTTCAGCAAATTCAGTCAGTAATAAAAAGCAGAATTCAGGATCATTCTGATTTTTATGGATCTCTTACTCCACTTTTTATCAAAATTTGTCACTTCCTGTGATGAATTTAAAACCCCAGAATATCATGGAGTGGAATAAAAGTCACTTCTTTAGGTTCAGAAACGTTTAAGTAAGCACGGGGAGGACTTTATCTGACAGTAGGTTATGTGAAGAAACCCGGGAAGTTTTCGTTAAGGCAGGTACATTGAAAACACTAATATTCTGTGGTTGCTACAAATTGTTAATTTAAAAAATACTGACAAGCATCTGTGTGCAGTTAAGGACTCGGGTTCAGCACATCCTGCTGAACCCTTGCTTGGCAACAAGAAGGCAGAGGTTGCACGTTAATTTTGGTGCAGCTTCTCCCTTAGTACATGTGAGGCTGGACCGGCAGACGTGAGCGAGTACACTATGTTGCCATGCCTGTCAGGTATGGACACAGCAGGAGGGAGCAGCCCCATGCTCAGTCTCTGCGCTGGCTGGAGACTGTAGAGGGATGCATCTTTGCACCTGTAATACCTGTGTGTGCTTGTGAGCACCCAGGCAGGACCCACCTTACAAAAAGACTTGTTTGCTTGGTGGTTTTCAGTGACCTTCTGTCTTTTCCCGTCAGGGTGTTGATACAAGCTGGAGCTCTTTGTTGGAGTCTTCCAGAGCTCTCCCAGGGAGAGGTAGGGAAGGGAGCTTGTCCAGCAGAAGTTGGGAAGCACAGAGATCATCTGCCTTCTTCTGAGCCGGTATTGATGCAGGCTGAGGCCTGTGTTGTAATGTACTGGGTAGGTTTTGGGGAATAGGTGAGGAGCCTAATGAAGAGCCTGGCCAGGTTATAACTTCAATCTAGAAGCCTGGAAATGAAAGTCCTTTCCATTCTGTATCTCAACCAAATATTTCTTGACTGCCTACCCATGTGCCTTGCACTGTTCTATGAAAGATGGCCAAGAAGCTTGGGACATAATCCTTCTGTAGGACCTTAGTCTTAGTAAGTAGCATTGTAGCTCAGAGTTAAGACTGGACTAGGAGGGAAGCATGTAAGGCTAGAATCAAAGACCGTCTTCAGATGGGTGGTGAGACCTGAGGGACAAGGGAGGGTGCTTCGGTTGGTTGTAGGAAAGCATTTATTCCTGGGTGTCAGAGGAAGTTCTGGTCCTCTGCTCCTTGATGCGTAAAGCCTAGTGGGGGTGTGGGGAGGTGGTACTTTAGCAGCAGTGTTGGAGTGTCCAGGTTTATGTGCAGCTTGTTGGGTGGAGTGACCCCAGAGGTGGATCGTGAAGGAGGAAGAGCTGGGGTGGGGAGGGCCAGGGCACAGGCTGGAGCTCCGAGTGTTCAGCAGTGTCATTTAGACGCACCTGGCCTTCAGGGCGCACAAGACAGTGGCACTAGCCAGCAGGGGACAGGCAAGCCAGGAGGGCCTGGACCCCACTTCTGAGTTTTGGGGTTCAGCCTAATACATTGAAGAGACGTTATAGCCAACATGATAAAATTAGAATTTTTAGAAGAATGGCTTTGAAAAATGAAAAGCACTTTGCCCCAATTATAAAGTTAATGCTTTTGAAAATTTGGAAAATACAGAAAAGTATAAAAATGAAAATAATAATTTCCCATAACCTGATCACTAACTGTTGTTGATGTTTTAGTGTGGAAAGAGCACTCCTAATTAGGCTGATGCAGGTGCATGAAATGAGCTGGCGTGGATTTTCCCAGTCCCTCAATCCACATGCACATTGGTGAGGAATCTGGGTCAGGGAAGTTTTCCCAGTTGACACAAGCTAGCTACTAGAGACAGAATCAACTCAGTTTCTCTGTTCCTCCCGCCCAGAGTACTTTCCACACCAATGTAGTCACCCTGTGAGGTGCATGTCTGTGATGGGCACTGGATTACAGTTCCTGCAGTCAGCAAGTAAAACTCCTTGGCCAATGTGGCAACGCCTTGGTGATTAAGGCAAATCCAAATAATGTATGAGATTTCATTCTTGATAAAAATTATGTAATAATTCCCTGGGTTAATCTGTCTTATATAATTAAATCTTAACTCCAAATGCTGCAGGATATAAATGTTTTTGTGAAAGTCTCTAATAAAAGTAACCTGGCCCACTGGTCTGAAATGTGACATTTAATTTCTAGACTAAAGAGAGAGAGCGTAATGATTTTAAATGTGATTTTAAAAAGTTAATGTGTTCTTGTTTAGAAAGTTGGTGTGAATACACAGAGTACTGTGGAATACAAAATAACTTCTAGAAATATTTGTAAAATGGTTGAGAGTAGATGCAGATTCTAGAAAGTCACATACTGGCAGTTAAAGAGAAATTGATGTGCTATTTGTCAGTACTTTTAAAAAATAACTTGAGAACAAGCTCAGAATTCTTCAGTGCCCATAAACCTCAACTTATGATAATAAGTTTATCCAGAAAAAAATTTACTGGTTTATGTGACTGCCTTAGAATTAATGACACATCTTTATTTTCCTCAAATGTTTCTTTTGCCTTTCAGACTATAAGAGTTTATAATTTAGAAGCTAATTTGGACTTTCCCAAGAGCACATTTAGAGAAGCAGTGTAGAACAGTGAGAAAGCAGTTTGTAGTTCCACCGGGGCTCAGACAGACCTAGCTTTTAAGGGCCAGCGCTTCTAGTTTTACCAGTGTAATTTGGGTTGTCTTCTTGTCCTTAAATTGGGCACAACCGTTCTTTTTTAATATGGCAGTGGTAAGGATTGGGGGGGGGTGCATGTGAAGCACTTGGCACAGTTCCTGGCACATAGTAGGCAGGCAATAAATTGTAGCTCTCATTGTCACAGAGAAAGCCTGTTTTACAGCATAGCCATCCTACCTGGACATAAGAATTGCTCCTTTAATGCTTGCCTTATTTATTTGGTGTGCAATGTTATCCATGTTTTCCCCTGAGCTTACAGACCACTATCTTTCTTTTTTATTTTATCCATGTCATAATTAGTATTCATTACTTAATAGTTTAAAGGGGTTCTTTGTATATGTGGTTTTGACATTGCTGTTGTATTTAAACATTTTTAACAATGGTAGAAACTAGAATGGTATGCTAGTTCTTTCTGCCTTTTAAGTTTTTCCTGTCGTTTTTCTTATAGACTGACATAATCCTCCATTTGGTCTCTGGAATATAGATGTAAACATTTTTTATTTATTAGGTGACAATGCAAAAAATGATTTGTATTTGTAAAACTATTATAATAATAAAGCTAAATACTTCTTTTTCCACTAATATTGTAAGGCCAATTTGATTTAATAGGGGAGAAAAGTTGATAAAACTGTTAAATCACAATATAGTGTAATCATAAAGTACAAATGCAAATACCTACTTTTAACTTTGTGTCAGGTGTCATCTGAAGACAGAAGTGCCCTGTGGGCTTTGGTTACGTTCCACGGGGGCAATTGCCAACTGAACCTCAATAAGAAATGCACGCATTTGATTGTTCCAGAGCCAAAGGGGGTAAGCATTTCATGTACATTTTCCTTTTTTTAATTGTTTCTTCATTTTAGTGGTGCTGGGGTTTGAACTCAGGGTGTTATGCTTCCAAAGCAGGCCCTCTGCTGCTTGAGCCACACCTCCAATCCATTTTGCCCTGGTTATTTTGGAGCTAGAGATCTCACAAACTATTTACCTGGGCTGGCCTCGAACCTCAATCCTCTAGATCTCAGCCTCCCAAGTAGCTAGGATTACAGGTGTGAGCCATTGGTGCCCAGCTGTTACCTTTTTATATGTCACGTATTTACAGTAATCAAAGGTCTTTTTTGAGCCTCTTCGAAATTGCTACATTTTACTTACAAAAGCAGAATATATTGGATTATATTATTTATATCCAGATTTCATTTCCATAAAAGACATGAGATGATTGTAAATTATATTATGAGCCAAATATAGTTACAAAGAAGCTGGAGCTTATGTTATAGGAAAATAGTCCTTCTAGTCTTTACAAAATTTCGTGAAACTTTTGTATGAGTCTGTTTTTATGTGTGAAAGGAATTGAGAAAAATGTACTCTTAGACCTCCTTTACCATTTGTGTGTTTTTTTGCATGTGTACGTGTGTGTGTGTGTGTATATGTGTGTGTGTATGTGTATATGTGTGTGTGTGCTGGGGATCGAAATTCAGGGCCTGGTGCATGCTAAGCATGTGCTCTACCCCTGAGCTAGGCCCAGCACCCTTTGCATTTTTATAGAGACCTTGTATCAAGTATAATTGCAAACATGCATTTGGTGAAGTTTTTGATGTGTTTCCTTAATAATATAGTATATACACAAACAGTAGCTTTCTCTTGGTAAGTTCTGGGCACTCATCTCTGAGCACAGGTGTGGCCTGAAGTGTGGGAGCATGAGCCTCACTAGAAGTGCAAGTTGTTCAACCCCTTCCCAGACCTACTAAGTCCAGCAGTCTGTCTGAACAAATGCTCTGGGGAAGTCTGATGCTGCTGAAGTTGGATAACCACTTCTCTGTTGAAAGCAAGGTTTTCTCTTCCCATGACTGATCTTTTTAAAACTTGGGATATTAACTTCAAGTTCGGTATATATGGTTAACTATAATCTTCTGACTAGTTAGTTTTTCCACGTCTCAGTCACTGTCTTCACTATTTTGGTGGGACTAGAGTTTGAACTCAGGGCTTTGTACTTGCAAAGCAGGCACTCTGCTACTTAAGCAACACCCGCAGACTGTTTTGCTCTAGTTATTTTGAAGATGGCGTCTTGAGAACTATTTGCACGGACTGGCCTCAAACCACAGTCCTCCTGATCTCAGGCTCTCCCAGGTAGCTAGGATTACAGACATTAGCTACTGGTACGCAGCCTGTCTTCACATTTTTAAATTGCTTATGGTCTAAATTGGCATTGTCACCATACTATTTCACCTGGTGCACCATGTCACTCATGTAGAAGGAGTGTGCTGAGCGTGGCAGGGTTCTGCGGTGTGGCACAGTGCAGAGGCAGGCACAGGCTTGGCCTGCCGAGAGTCCCAGCTTAGTGTTTGGAACTAAACAAGAGGTTGACAGGTGTGTTCTGCTCCTCAGGCAGGAAGAGACTGAATTTCTGGCTCAGTTGCACTCAACCTTATGAGAAGGCTACTCTACTCAGGCAGATACTTTTTCTGTGAAATGATGACATGAAGCTTAAAATTTATTTAAGCGAAGAATTAATGTTTTATATGACAGTCTAAGTTATAAGCAGTATACTTCAGTTGAGTAATTAGTGTAAGTGTTGTTGTTGCCGCGTAGCTAGGTGGATTGGGAAGTAAACTGTAAAGTCTAGCGGAGTGAGCACTTCTGAAGAGTCAGTCATCATTTAAGAGTAAATATATGGCTAGGTGCTCACGCTTGTGACCCAGGCTGCTGAGGAGGCAGAGGTCAAGGTCAGGAGGATCGCCATTCAAAGTCATTGGGGCCAACAGTTCAGAAGACTGTCTTGATAAAACTCCTACGGAACAGGGCTGCTGGAGGGGCTCAAGCGGTTAGAGCACCTGCCGAGCAAGCTTGAGGCCCCAGGTTCAAACCGCAGTGCCACCAAAAAAAAAAAAAAAGAGTATGTGAATAGAGTAGGTTTGTCAAAGCTGTCTAAAATTACAATTTAATTTTGGAGTCCTAATTCAAGGTTGCTTTTCCCTCCAGAAATATTTTGTTGATAAATCCTTAGTGACATGTTCTAGCTGTCTTTGTTTACTTATTCATTCATTTACTTATCTATTCATTTGGAGGTGCTGGGGTCACACCCAAGACATTGTGTGCATGCTAGGGAAGTGCTTGACTACTGAGCTCCACCTCAAGCCCCAGGTATAATATATATTTTAAAGTACTTACTGACATTAGACGTTTTTTTTTGGTAGGACTGGGGTTTTGAACTCAGGGCTTTGCATTTGCAAAACAGGCACTCTCCTACTTAAGTCACACCTCCAGCCCATTTTCCTCTGATTATTTTGGAAATGAGGGCTTTGGATTATTTGCCTGGACTGGCCTTGAACCACAGTTCTGCTGATCTCAGCCTTCCAATTAGCTAGGATTGAAGGTGTGAGCTCCCAGTGCCTGGCTAGACTTATTTTTTTAGACTAATTTTTAAGGCGTGGCTAAAAATGAAATAGTTTTAAAGGTTTTATTTTGAAGAAAACTATTAAGTCAGCAGTCTGTTTAAGTAAGTGTATATTTGTGTGTATATACTGTCATTGGGTTTTATCTCAACAAAGAGACACTTTAAATAGAAAATTTTATTTGGATAAAACGTACTTATGAATAGGCAACAAATATGCTACATAATTATTTTTAGGAAAAAAATAAAATATTTTGTATTTTAAAAATTTGGTATTACCATTTGGGAGGCTGAGATGAGGAGTACTGTGGTTCAAGGCCAGCCTGGGCAAAAAAGTCTGCATGACCCATCTCAAGCAATAAGCCAGGCATTGTGGTGCAAGCTTGTCATCCCAGCTACACAAGAGGCATATATAGGAGAATAGCAGTCAAGACAAGACCAGGCAGAAGCATAAGACCCTAGCTGAAAAATTTACTGAACACAAATAGGACTCGAGGCATTGGCTTAAGTGGTAGGCCACCTGTCTAGCAAGTGTGAGGTCCTGAGTTCAAACTCCAGTGCCACTAAAAAACCAATACAAAAAAACTAAAAACAATAAACCACACACTCTATACATTGAGTATCAGGATTATCTTACGAAGTCTATAATGGAGTATTTTTTATGCAAACTGGCCTTAACCCTTAATTCTCCTGCCTCATTCTCCTAAGTACTGGAATTGCAGGTGTGCAGCACCATGCCCGACCCTTCTGTTCTCCTTTCTGACAAAACAGTTGTTATTATTCTTGTCCCAGCCACACTCACCTTGGAAACTTTCTCTGAGTCCTCCAATGCACAGAGTGTGCTCCTTTGCTAGTGTTTTTACCACATTGTTTACTACAGATTTTCTGTTACGTTCGTGCTGCATGTGTAACTTCTCTCTCTCTGTCTTTGGTGGTACTGGCATTTGAACCTAAGGGCTTTGTGCTTGCTGGGTATGCACTCCACTGCTTGAGCTGTGCCCACGGCCCTTAACTTGTGTTTAGGACCAGGTGTGGTGCTGTTGTCAGTCAGATGCATGGCGCATCCTTTGAGTCTGCGGCCTTTCAGTGTCAGTTGGCCTGCAAAGCTAGCTTCATAGGCACCACATAATGGAGAAAGCTTTGCCCCCTTACCACACCCATGGTTCCCTCAGGAACTGTGAACCTATCCCATTTACCAGCTTTGTAAATAGTGTCAGTGCAGGTATACATGGCAGTGCATGCTTGTAGTCCAGCAACTTGGCATTGAGGAGGACTGTGAGTTCGAGACCAGCCTGGGCTGATTTCAAAATATCACCAAAAGGGCTGGAGGCATAGCTAGGTGGGAGAGTGCTTGCGTAACAAGTGAGGCCTGGGGTTCCATCTCTAGCCCTGAAAAAAAGTTTCTAAAAACTTAGCAGAATTTTGTTTTATAATTTTTCCATAGGATTCCTAGCTCTATGTATGTATTTAAAATGCCACTTGTAAAAGTCCATCTAGATCAACTCTTGTAGGACTACTGCTGCAGGCACAAGACCTTCATGTGGCACTGATGTGGTTTCTCCTGACCTTCAGCTCATGGCCTCCATCTAACAGGAGTCCAATAGGACTGTGGGCTTTTCCTCTGGGGAACTGCAGTGGAAGTGTCTGAGCATGGCAGCTGCATTCCTCCAAAAGCTCCCTTATTGGAAGGCTAATTCCAGCAGATGTGATGAGATTGACAGCTTTGTTCTGTTGTGTGTTTGTGCTTTACTCATAGGAGAAATACGAATGTGCTGTGAAGCGAGCAAGTATTAAAATTGTGACTCCTGATTGGGTCCTGGACTGCGTATCTGAGAAAACCAGAAAGGATGAAGTGTTTTATCATCCTCGTCTGATCATCTGTGAGGAGGAAGAAGAAGAGGAGGGGAGGAAGAGGAGGAAAACGAGGAGCAGGACTCACAGAATGAGGGCAGCACAGAGGAGAGGTCGAGCCCGGCCAGCTCTCAGGAGGGCTCCCCTTCCGGTGACCAGCAGTTTTCACCCAAACCCAGCACTGAGACATCCAAAGGGGAGTTGATGTTTGATGACTCTTCGGATTCATCACCTGAAAAGCAAGAGCGGAATTTAAACTGGACCCCAGCAGAAGTCCCACAGCTTGCAACAGCAAAGCGCAGGCTGCCTCAGGGAAAAGAGCCTGGGCTCATTAACTTGTGTGACAATGTCCCGCCTGTACCAGGGAACATCCTGCCTCCTGATGTCCGGGGTAACTTAATGGCTTCTGGACAGAACCTCCAAAGTTCAGAACGATCAGAAATGATGGCTGCGTGGAGCCCAGCCGTGCGGACGCTGAGAAATATCACTAATAATGCTGACATTCAGCAGGCTAACCGGCCGTCCAGTGTAGCTCATGTAAGTCCAGTCGAAGCACGAATGCCGTCTTTAAGAGTTGGAGTCCATGTCTTTTTCAGTGATGTGTATTGTTTTTGCTTCTTGAGACTGTAACCTACCTGCAGTATGTATTTGTGTGAGAGCTTATTTTACAGTCATACGGATATACATATACGCATGTATGCAGTCAGATGTCAGATAGTGGCTTTGGGCCAGGTGTCAACTACATTTATGATAGTGGTCCCATAAGAGTGTACGGCCTAGTGATGCAGTCGTCTTCGTTTGTGTAAGTACATTCTGACATATACACCACAGTGACATCTCAGAACACGTGTCTGGCTGCAAGTGTCATCACTCTGTATTTCAGTGTCAAGGTCTATCATATGAGAGTGTGGCAGCAGGAGGGATCTCGTGAGGAGGTGACATGAACCAGGGTTGAATGACAAGGAGGCCATGAGGAAGACTGAGGGCACAGTGTTCTAGGTGAAAGGAATAGCAAGTACAGTTGCTTAGCGTGCCCCAAGAGGAGAAGGTAATGAGTGAGGCAAGGGAGTGCTGGGAGGGATGGGGCGGGGCCTTGCCAGGGCACGGAGAGTAGTGTGGCTGCTGTGGACCTGAGTCCAGTGGGAGGTTCGCTAGGTGTTGTGTAACCTGAGGGGCAAGGGGAAGGACTCAGGGAGATCCCAAAAGAGGCTGTGGAAGGTGGAGTTTGGGAGGAGAGGCATGGGGCCAGTTTTCTGGTGATCCAGCAAGTGAGGGCTGTGTACTTCAGAGATGAAGAAAGGACATCTGAAGAACTGCATGTTTGAAGCCCTGGATTTTGGGCTTACCTTGCAGGTGATGAAGTGACAAAATGTTGGGCTGGCATTCTTAAAGTCCTGAAAAGTGGCAGACTTCAGAGGCTGAGCAGCAGCTGTCCTTTAGAATTGAGATCTCTGGGGTGGGCTTCAGGTACCTCCACTCCCTGACCCTTCCCATGAGATATTACATGGCTGTAATATCTAGAGGCGAGTGTGAGTTGTGCCTGACCACAGGCCCCGAGAGTGATTAGAATGAGGAGAAGGCCATGGAGGTAAGGTGGTCACAGAGCTGTCAGGTCAGGGCTTATCCTGGCAGGTGCCCATCTGAGTACTGAAGTCACCTAAGGAAGAGGAGATGACAGATTGCAAAGAAGGGGCAGTTGCAGCCCTTCCAGGACTGAGGGAGGGTGTGTTCCGCTGACCCCACCCCCTGTACATAGTTTCCAGGAGGGCTGCGGATGCAGCCCCATAGCCACACTGCAGGACAGGGTTTAGAGGACAACAGGGGAGTGACCAGGAGAAAGTATGTGGGGAAAGCCCGAGGGCATTGTGAGTGGTCCAGGAGTGGTGGGCTGGAGTCTGAGAGGATTCTAACGTTTCTGGCCTCAGAATTATTAGGAGAGTGGTGAATCCACTGAGGTGGGAACTTGGAATATGAGCCAGTTCCATGAGCAGACCTGCCTGGGCCATCCAGGTGAACTTATCCTGAAAGCATCCGGAAGCGTGGACTGAAAAGATGTCAGAGCTGATTCAAGAGCTAGATGAAAGAGCTGTAAAGGCTCTGGCGGCTCAAGAATGTTGAGAAGTTATGGGTGGCACACATCCATTTGAAACAGAAAGAAAACGCTCTTTGCTTTCTGCTCCGTGTAATGTGGAAAAACGGTGTAGCTCAGTTACTACTTGTTTCTCCTGTATTGTACATTTTTCAAATAGAATGGATGCAGGTTTAAGTCAGCGATCCCAAGTCTGTGTTTGGATTTAAACTGCTGTTATTTGAAAAGGAAATAAGTGACAGCACTGGGGAGTTGGGCACGACCTCAGGAGACAGCTTGGTACTCAGCTCTGGCTCCAGAGGAGGGAACGGGGCCACTCAGCCAGTTACAGTGAGTGAAGAATTGGATCACTGCAGTGCTGATTGCAGAGACTTTCTGGGATCTTTTCAACAAAGTAAGGATATAAGAATATTTTACTGCTAAATGTGAAGAAAATTAATTTTTGGATTGTTGGTATTGTTTATTTTTTTTTGCGGGAGGTGGGGTGTTCCCAGAACCAGCCCTTAGCAAGGATTCACATTTAAGAAGTTTATTGGGAGAGGAAGGAAACTCTGACAGTAAAAGAGGAAAGCATGCAAAAGAAGGCAGCCAACCCCGGGTGCTGTCAAGTAAATTATCACCGTGACAATGCCACCTCCATCCCCTGGTGCCTGGGTGTGGAGAGGCCTCGGAAGAACGCATGGCCTAGTATTTACACTCCAGCTTCTTCAGCCGTTGGCAACTAGACACGGGGCAGGTGTGTCATTCCCTGGCACTTCCAGCCTGCAGCAGTGATGGGCAAGGAAACTTGGGGTCCAAGAAAACTCTTGGGCAAAGAAAAGCAGTGACGGCAGTTGGCACTGGTGGTATTGGGGTTTGAACTCAGGACTTTGTGCTTGCTGGGCAGGTGCTCTACTTCTTGAGCCATGTCTACAGCCCTATTTTTTTGTTTTTTTTTTGGCATGTTCTCACCATGTATCCCAGGATGGCCTGGAACTCTCGATCCTCCTGCCGCAGTCTTCCAAGTTCTAGGACTACAGGTGCATGCCATCACACTTAGCTGGGAAAATGAAGTTTTGGAGTGATAGAAATATGAGACAGGCTTAGTTTAATATTCAGTCTTGGTGGCGGGCATAACTGTCAAACTCCTGTTTAAACTGCAAGTTTATTCTGGTTAGCAGTCCTATGATACACATGGTGACACTTTATGTATTATGGCAGTAGCTCGGATTAGGTAATTTAAAGGATTATGACAGTTATTACAGAAAAATTCAAAGCTGACATTCATTCAGAAATGTTTGCAGTAAGGTACAATTATGAAATCAAGTAATTAGGATTCCTACTTTTTCTTAAATTCCTCAGGGTTAATGTGTTTTCAGCCAGAGGCAGATGGGAAAGTGATATGAAAAGTGCAGCAGGTGTGCTGATAGCCATCTTTTTTAAAGCCCTGAGCCACACTTCCAGTCCATTTTGTTTTGGTTGTTTTGATTTTTTTGGTGGTACATAGGTCAGCCATGGCGGGGACCTTTGCGTCAAAAGCCCAAGGCAGAAACAGCTCCAAGTTGCCTTCCTCATCCCCTCACCTCGTGATGTCCCCATGCAGAGGGAGGCTAAGAGGGCCCAACTGCCTCCCTGTGTGCCCCCATGCCCTGTGCTGGCATCTGCTCCCTTGTTTGTATGGGGAAGCCCACCTGGACTGAGTCAGTGGCACAGAGAGGGTTGCAACATGTGACAGACAACAGGTTTGGCCCATTCATTGTGGCAGGCAGAGTTTATTTCCTTATGACCCTCCACTTTTCCATAGTTACTTCTGAGGGTGAAAAGAAAGATATGTACAAAATGAAAATAATCAAGTGATACCAAATTACACAGAGTGAAAAGTAAACTCCCTCCTGCCTCTTTCTTCGGGCCGGCCCATGACAGCTCACAGCCAAGCTCTTTGTGCCTGCAGGTGTCTCCACGTGCTTTTCTGTAGACTCATTGGCAGTGCTAGGTGCTGCTCAGCTTCCCGGGTGGTGTGTGGTGAGGCTAATTTTCCCCTTCACTTTTCTGGGCATTTAAAAATTACTTTTTATTTAAAAAATTGTTTATTATCCTTTTGTTGTTGTACTAGAGGTACATTGTGACATTTGCAAAAGTGCTTACAATATATCTTAGTTAAACTCACCCCCTCCACTATTCTCCTTTATCCCACCTCCTTCCATTCTTAGAATAGTTGAAACTATTCTTAGTTTTTCATTTTCATACATGAGAACATAATACTTCTACCACATTCACCCTCCTACATCCTTTCCTTATCATCCCCCTCTCACTGGTACCAACCCCCAGACAGGACCTGATTTACAACCCTATCCTCCATTTCTGAGAAAAAACATATTTTTGTTGACAATATCTATACAGGAGTTTCATGATGACATTTCCATGTATGTATGAATTGTAACCTGAATTGGTTTATCCCCTCCATTTTCCTCCTTTCTGCCTTAGTTGTCATCTTTTGGTGAGTTCAGCAGATTTAAAAATTCTATATTCTTCTTGTATAGAAAGTATGTCACCCATATTCACCTTCTTTACTTCCTTCTTTTACCCTTCCCCTCCCATTTTGTTACTTATAGAGAGGAAACAATTCTTAGGCTAGTTTCTATGATAAGTTGGTTTCAAATGTTTGTTATTTGAACATGTTGAACAAAATTCATTGTATAATATGTTTCTTCAATTTTATTCAGTACTCTGTACAATGTAATGAAAATAATTTGATACTCTGCTTGATGGGCATCTCGTCATCACCGTCCTGTTACTGCCTCCCACTTCAACACAGACAGGGTTTTCAGCTTGCTCCCTAGGAGGGATGCAGTCTGGTGTGAGTGATTTTCTTTAGCTTGAAACACTTTTGTCTATGTAAAGAGCTCACATCCTTGGTTGAGAAAGGATAATTTGCCAGCTGTAGCAATGATTTCTTAGGGGAAATGGCATCAGGTTTGCCATTTAAGCAGACCTGTTATTGGGGTTTTGCCTGTCCCTGTTATGTCACATGCATTGCACAGAGCAGGATACAGTGAGGGAGGAGAAGGTGGCCTTGCTAGGTGTAGCTGCTGTGTGAGCTGCTGCTGGTGGGAAGCTTGAGTCGCCTGCCTTTGTCTGAACGCCTTGCTTTCATCAGGAAGGTGACTCCCTGGGGGCTTTCCTTTGTTGGGCTCTGGGTCACAGGGTAAGAGGAAGTGGAAGATGGCAGCCCTGGAAAGAAGTTTCGGGGTGAGGCTGCATCTGACTGCCACATGCCTTTTCTGCCTGTCATCCTCCAGCATCCTTGGTCAAGAGCAGGCCATGGAGCTATGGGAGAGAGATAGCTGTAGAGAGATAGATGTCAGGGAGCCTCTGGCTTAGGAACAAGGGAACAAAACAGCACTGCCATCTTGCTTTGCTACTGTGTCACTGTTCTCTAAATACAGCAGTGAACGAATCTTTATATTCATGAGCTCCTTCCTTCCTCTGTGTACACTTGTTTTTTTTTTTTACAGTACTGGGGTTTGAACTCAGAGCCTACACCTTGAGCCACTCCAGTCCTTTCTTGTGATGGGTTATTTTTTTGAGATAGGGTCTCATGAACTATTTGTCCAGGCTGGCCTTGAACCACTATCCTCTGGATCTCTGCCTCCTGAGTTACTACCATTGCAGGCGTGAGCCACCAGTGCTCGGCTCCTATGTACACTTCCAAATGTTGGTATTGTCAAAGTACTGGTTTCCTTACTTGTTTTATTGGTGTTTGTGATACATAGTAAATACACAAGAAAATGCAGTATCGTTTGTGATGTCTCCAACCATTTAATGCATCTATGTAGTTGAATATTAACTTTGTCCTGTTGCACTGTTGATGGAGAGATGAATTAGTACCTTTCAGGAGCTGTTGATAATGACTTGGCCTCACTTTGTTTCCTAGATTTACAGTCCCTTTCAGCACCCACGAAAAATCTAGACCAGCAGGTGAATCACAGCCAGCAGGGACACACCAATGCCAATGCTGTGCTGTTTGGGCAGGTGAAAGGAGCTGCGGAGACACACATGCTCCAGCAGCACCATCAGCCCCAGCCGCAGCCCCCACTACCACCGCAACACCCAGTTCTCCACCTCCAGCCACAGCAGATTATGCAGCTGCAGCAGCAGCAGCAGCAGCAGCAGCAGCAGCAGCAACAGCAGCAACAGATGTCCCAGCAAGCCTACCCACAACCACCGGCACATCAGTTCCCACAGCAGCAGCAAGTCCATCAGCATCAGTTTCCTCAGCAACAGATGCAGTTTCAGCAGCAACAGTTGCATCCTCAGCAGCAGCTGCATCGCCCTCAGCAGCAGCTGCAGCCGTTTCCCCAGCAGCATGCCCTGCAGCAGCAATTGCACCAGCTGCAGCAGCACCAGCTGCAGCAGCACCAGCTAGCACAGTTGCAGCAGCAGCAGCAGCAGCAGCACAACTTGCTCCAGCAGCAGCAGCTCCAGCGCCTGCACCAGCAGCAGCAGCAGCAACAGATGCAGAATCAGGCAGCGCAACACTTGAGCCAATCTTCCCAGGCGCTGCAGCACCAGGTCCAGCCCCAGCCGCCTCCGCAGCCCCAGCAGCTGCTTCCACCCCAGCAGCAGCAGCTTTTTGGACATGACCCAGCAGTGGAGAGTTAGTAATGGGGTTTCTTTTTTCTTTCTCTACCTGTGGCATACTTGCATAAGTGCTGTGAGGGCGTGCATAAGGATTCCTACCGAATAATCATTACAAAATGGAGAATGCACATCTTTTTGCAGTACTGGGGTTTGAACTCAGGGCTTTGTGCTTGGTAGGCAGGTGCTCTACCACTTGAGCCACTTTTTGCTTTCAGTTAGTTTTCAAAGAGGCTCTTGTGTTTATGCCTATGCTGGCCTAGACTGTGAACCTCCTACTTATATTTCCCATGTGGGTGGGCTGACAGAAGCATGCCACCCTGTCCAGCTTTTTATTGGTTGAAATGGGAGTCTCCCAAACTTTTTGCCCAAACTGGCCTCACACTGATATGCTCCCAATCTCCACCTCCTGAGTAGCTGAGATCACAGATGTGAGCCAAGGCTCCCAGCTACAATGTACCCAACAAAACAAGTTGTAATGGGATAAGTATGGCTTCTTCTGTACTTGGGCAATCATATTTGAAGTGAATGATGGTGTTTGGCAGAACATCTTAGAGTATTTAGTGGTCAGGCATAATTGTTTAGTTTTGGTTTTTAACGATTTTTATTATAGACAGCCAAATCACTATATTTGTAGTAATATTCCACATGTCCTTAGATTACTGGTGGATACTTCATGGTCAAGACCGATTAACTTAATAAATTCACACTGAACTAGGCAAAATCGCTTTCAGTTTTTGTGCATGCATATTCATAGTTTAAATTTTTTTCTTGTATCATTCTGTTCTAGTTCCAGAAGAAGGCTTCTTACTAGGATGTGTGTTTGCAATTGCGGATTATCCAGAGCAGATGTCTGATAAGCAGCTGCTGGCCACCTGGAAAAGGGTGAGCTGTGCTGGGAAGAAGTAAACTTGGTACTTGAAGAGCTTTCATGAGTGTGGACTGCCTGTTTGTTCAGCCAAGTTCACCAAGACACATCTGGGTGCCTTCTCTGTGATGGGCAGATCACTTTTCTGGGTGTTAGTTTCCTCACTTGTTAGGCAAAGTGTTGGTGTTGGGCTTCGTTATTCTTAAGATATTTGTCTATAATTAGGGGACTAGAATAAGGTCAGGTATTTGACCTTTGATAGGGATCATCAGCCTGTGCGTATTTTAACCATTTTGTTTCTCCAAAGGCAAATGTTAAGAGAATCCTAGAATCTCCAGGCTAGAAGGAACCTCAGGGTCTTCTAGTCTAATTGTGGGATGATAGTCCATTTATTTATGCATTATTTTGCATGGTAGCCTTTAAAGAAAACACCTTTTCTTGCTAAACAAGGTCAAAACTGAGTCTTTTTTTTTGGGAGGGGGTACTGGGGTTTGAATTCAGGGCCTACGCCTTGGGCCACTCCACCAGCCCTTTTTTGTGATGGGTCGTTTTGCGATAGGGTCTCACGAACTATTTGCCTGGGCTGGCTTCAAAATGTGATTCTTCTGATCTCTGCCTCCTGAGTAACTAGGATTACTGGTGTGAGCCACTGGTGCCCAACAGGACTGAGTCTTTAATGTGTGTATAGGTGTATGTGTGTATATATATATATATATATATATATAGAGAGAGAGAGAGAGAGAGAGAGAGAGAGAGAGAGAGAGAGAGAGAGAGAGAGAGTATGAGTGTGAGTGTTAGTTTAAGTAGGTTTAAAACCCATCTTGAATGTACTTTACTGTAAATATTTCTGGTTTAAACCTGATTTGTGCCAAGCATGCTGCAAGACTGAGTCATGTTGAGTAAGCAGAGCTAGGCAAACTGACAGACACATAGGAAAAGTATCGCTTTGTCTGGTGGTGTGGATAGAGGTAGCATAGGGCATTATGGAGTCTGAGAAAAGAATATGAACCAATCATGTTAGGTATGTTAAAAAGTTTGGAAGAGGTGGTTCCTGAGCTGAATATCACAGGATGAGGAGGAGTAAGAATTGGGGGAGGATGGTCCAAATAGACCAGGTTAGGCAAAGGCAGGCACCTACAGAAATTGATGGGGGAGGATTTATGGGAAGTCCACAAGCCTGTGCGGATGGCCCATGAGACAGGGAGAAGAAGGGACAAAGGCTGGCCACTCCAGCTGTGTTAGGGAATTTGAATTTTCCTCCTTACAACCCTTAGAGGAAAGTGGAGAATAAAGTGGTCAGGTGTTCACGTTGTGTGGAATTGCTGGCTTTGAGGCTGCCCAGCCAAGAGATAATAAGCGAGCCAAGGCAGGCATTTCTCCAAATTACAACAGCAGAAATGTAAAAAACACAGAAGTTTTAGAGAAAACACAGAAGCTTTAGAAGGTGACATTTAGAAACCTTTCCTAAAAAGCAGAATAAAACTCATAGTTATAAAACTTAATAAAAGTTGTTTTTTTTAAATTTTGTTTTAATTTAAAGAATGAGTACAAGAGGTCCAGCATTAAATAATAGGAGCTCGGGGCCAAAGAAAACAAAGGAGGAAAACTATTACAGAAAATAGCTTTAAAGAAAGATACATGTTCCAGACAGAACAGAAACGAAAAGAGCAAAACTGTTGCAGAAAACAGCTTTAAATAAAGGACACACGTTCCAGACGGGACAGAAATGAAAAGAGCAATATTGAACCTGCTGTGAGAGTTCAGAGCTTTTGAGAGAAAACTGTTAGAAGATCAAGGTTAGGACAGTGTCCAGCACCTCCAGTGCAGCATGCAGCCAGTTAGACAGTCGAGCGGCTTCTTCAGAATTCTCACAGACAGTAATTTCCAACCTGGAATTACATACGCTGTCAGCCAAACGATCCCGTGGAACAAAGGTATTTTCAGACTTCCACGGTCACAGAATTTACCTCTTGTACTCAGTTTTGGGAAGGCACTGCATGTGGCATCCAAGAAATGGCAATGACCCGAAATGGACAGGGAGTTCTTTGGGTAAAAATGAAGGGAACCCCAAGTAGATGGCAAAGCCATGGCATAATCTATGTGAGAGAGAATGTATGAGATCTTCAGAAGAAGCCACCTGTGATTGATTTGGGGACATTGGAAAGCAGGGCAAGGGTAGGGGGCTGTTGGCTCTCTCTTGAGTGTCCTTCAACCACATCTATGAACAGTTAGGGTAAATAAACTGATTCAAATAAATACATTTGAAAGTAGGAAGTGAAACAGAATCAGGGCTTTGTTTAAGTTAACCTTTTTAACATACAATATATTCCTCCTTCCAGCAGCGGACAGGATTTTGAATTTTGTCTGTTGTCTAGTGCCCTGTAGCCGTTGTAGTTAGGAGAGAATGCCTTCCTAACTCCCAAACTTAATTTGTTTGCAAATAAACTTTTGGTATTCATTAACTTGATTCTCATTTGCTTTTCTGGTGTAGAGTGGTGGTTCCTGAGGGGAGTGAATCTGCCCCTGTGGGGCATTTGGCAACTCTAGAGACTTTGTTACTATCTGGGGTGGGGGGCGGTGCTACTGGCAACCAGTGGGTGGAGGTCAGAGGTCAGGGAGGTACCCCACAAAATGTCAGTAGTGTGAGATGGAGACACCCACGTTTTTCTTCTGGAAATCTAGAGGAAGCAAGTATTGCAGTTCACTTTCTCTCTGTAGTCCTGGATAGAAAAGTTTGAAATATTGCTGTTACATATTATTTATACTGTGGGGAAATAAAGTATATAAATGTGGTCAATTCTTTTAATAGCTGTCTTGAAATTACAATTATCTTGTACTCTGGGTAATTGAGATTGCTGACAGTTTTGGTTGGGTCTTTTGTGTAGATAATCCAGGCACACGGTGGCACTGTGGACCCCACATTCACGAGCCGATGTACACATCTTCTCTGCGAGAGCCAAGTCAGTAGCATGTATGCACAGGTAAGGAAGGTGGCCCACCTGTGACTTAGAGTTCCGTTCAGTTTTTATGCAGCCTTAGACTCTAGGGCTTACTATTTGGGGAAAGAACTTTTTTCTACCTTTAAAAATAGTGAAATTAATTACTTCTTAATTTTCATCCAGTGTTCTGTGGCTAGATACTTTTGTGGACACCATTGACTTAGAGCAGTAGAGATGGAAATTCCTGGTAGAGTTAGGGAAAGGGTAGTAGGTACTTCCAGTCATCACCAACGCAGTGTTGAAGAAAGGGATTTCCTACCTTGTGTGGCTTTGCAGCGCCCAGCCTGGGAAGTCAGTTACCTTATCGAGTATGAGCTAGTTCTCTTCCATACTACCTCCTTTACCACTAATGTTTCATTCACTTCTCTTTTCCTAAAATGCTCTTATTTGTTGACAGATGAATCCTAATGTGTTTATGACAAATGACCTTTAAGGACCCCTCTCCTAATGCTAAGGACCCCTCTCCTAATACCTAAGGAGGTAGCATTGTGGGTTCTGCTTTGCAATTAAACATGGAGAATACTGTGATCTTCCTCCTCTGGATAATTTTAGATGGCTGGTTACAGTTTTACACCTTGTTTTATTTGGGATCCTTTGTATTCTTATGTGGTATATTAATTTTTTTTATTATTTCTTGTGATATTGGTGTTTGAACTCAGGGCCTCACACTTGCTGGGCAGGCACCCTGCCTCCACTTTGTGTGTGTGTGTGTGTGTGTGTGTTGGGTATTCTTGAGATAGGGTCTTGAACTATTTGAACTACAGTCCTCCTGGTCTCTGCCTCCTGAGTAGCTAGGGTTACAGGCGTGGGCCACCAGTGCCCACATGGGGGATTTTAATTTTGATGATCATTTACGTTATCTCTTGGAAAATTTGTTTCTTTTATTCCCTATTGGGGGCTCTTGTTCATAGATAGATAGTAACATATTTAAGTTGTATCAAGAGTCAGTAGCTACATCGTCATAGCTTGTCTTTAATAAATTGTGTGCTAAATGTCATGAATTCTTTTGGTTATAGGACTTCTAAAAAGGTGGTGTTGTGGTTATACCATTTTGTGTTTAGTGCAGTAAAAAATCCAAAACAAACCTCTAATTTTATGTTTCATAGGCGATCCGGGAAAGAAAGAGATGTGTGACTGCACACTGGCTGAACACAGTCCTGAAGAAGAAGAAAATGGTGCCACCTCACCGAGCCCTGCATTTCCCTGTGGCGTTCCCGCCGGGAGGAAAGCCATGTTCGCAGCACGTAAGGCAGAGGGCAATAATCGTGTCCTGATGGGCCGTGTCTTTCGCTGCTCTGCGTCAGGTTTCCTTTACTTTGGCCCAGGATAGAAGTGCCTGGCCTAAAAAGTACCTTAATTCCTCTTGCTCCCCTGAACAGTTTTCTGCAGATCACTGGCAGATATTTAATGGGTTCTCCAAAGTCTTTGACGGTATCAAACCCTTAAAGGCAGCCGCTGTTGGGCAGAACCTTATCAATACTTGTGGGCTCTCCCACTTAAATTATCTCAAAATTGGGATCAGAAAGGAAAATAACGGGCTGACTGATGTTTATGTGCTTAACAAAATAACTTAGAATCACCTGAGCAATGACATATTAATGCAAGGAGTATTTTCCATATTTGTGAGCTCATGTTTCTTTTTCCTTCCTCTGTATGGAGCATGCCAACCATTAATAAAATCTCCTCTTGATGTTCTTCAGAATAATATTGCCTAATATGTCCTATAATGCCAAAAGAATAATGAAAAAATACGTATAAAACTAAAACATCGAGGAAATCATACTTAAGTTTATTTTTTAAAAACATTATTTGTTCTTTTTCTCTGTAGATTATCTCTGTGACTGGATTTGTTGACAGTGACAGAGATGACCTGAAGTTAATGGCATACTTGGCAGGTGCCAAATACACGGGCTATTTGTGCCGCAGCAACACAGTCCTCATCTGTAAAGAGTAAGTCAAGTTTGGAGGCCATTTTTAATTTAAATTTACACACAATGGAGGGGTAGTTCAATTCTGTTTCTTAATACATACAATTTTTTGAAATCAAAGTCTAATAAAAGGATGGCAATGATATTCATGACAGTGTTAGCAGAAATACCTGTAAAACATTTGAACCGATGAGTCTAGATGAGTTAGAGAATCTAGGCAACAGGAATAAGGTGAAAGCAGTAGATGTGGTCCCATGATCCTGTCTGAGCTCGGAAGTGCCTTTAACTGCCAGCCATGGATCACCAGCATCTTTGCCAAAATATGCCTGCCACCTGTTATGAAAAAATTTTTTATCAGCTTTTGTTGAAAATAAATATAATGTGAGTTATTGTATGGCACTAACATTTACTAAATGTGATTTCTCCTCCAAAAAAAAGACCAAGTGGTCTAAAATATGAAAAAGCCAAAGAGTGGAGGATCCCGTGTGTGAATGCTCAGTGGCTTGGGGACATCCTGCTGGGAAACTTGGAGGCGCTGCGGCCCATCCAGTATAGCCGCTACACAGCGTTCAATCTACAGGACCCGTTCGCGCCCACCCAGCACTTGGTGTTAAGTCTTCTAGGTAAGCGAGCTCCAGGGGCTGTCCATCCTGCTGAGATGGGCGTTAGACCTGCTTCTGCTACCTGCTTACTTACACCAATACCATGCTTGGCTTTAGTACTCTAACTGGGTTTTTACTCATTTCCTTTTTCCTTTCCACGTTTTTTCATCTCCCCACTCTGCCCAGGAGTTTTGTTGGTTTGATATCAGTAGAGTCTTACAAGCATTTGAAAGCCTTCTTAGCCTTGTGTCTCACATCAGGTCGATCCTGTCACTGCCATGCTTTGATGACTTGCTGTTACCTCCCAGACATTACAGTGCTTCCTGTAGTGGCCTTTTGGTATTTACACAACTCCTTAAGGGAGGACAATCCCCATTGTAAATAGTCGGACAGTGAGTTTTAATTCTGCATTTACAGAATTGAACATGATTCAAAACAGGTAATTCAAGTGGTGCTTTGCCATTTTCTTAAGGAAGCCCAGTCTGATTTTGGATGGCTTTAATCACAAGAAAGCTCTTCTTCATCTTTGACTTTGACTTGTGTCCCTGTAACATCCCTGCTGGTCTGCTCTGAGCCCTGAGGCCAGTTCCAGAGGGACTGGTCTTGTGGAGATGTCCACTCTCAACACAGCATGAGTGTGCTACTCCCTTCAACCAGCCCTCTCTAGTACTGGAAAGACCACTGTTTCAGGCTGTCCTTCCTTTTTACCCTCTCTTCATAGCTGGTGTTACAGACCAGACTGTGGGAGGCCCAGAACTGGACACCATCTTCTAGAAATGTCTAGCCACTCAACACACAGTGGGATGTGTGTACCTTTGGTTGAATCATAGTGTTTGCTGCTAATTTTCTGTTGATAAGACGTGATGTGACAGATTGACACACTCATAGAACAGCTTCTATTCTTTCCAATTCACCTTGCAAAGTTTTTTCTATATTTAAGTATTGTACTTACACTTACTCCTACTAAAAGTTGTAAACTAAGCCACCCAGAGTTAACAGCCCTGGAAAAGACTTCTACAGCAGGACTCTTCTGTGTAAATAGTGTGCACTTACTGTGAAAAGTAACATCTTTCTCTCTTCAGATGCATGGAGAATCCCATTGAAAGTCTCAGCAGAGTTATTGATGGTATGTTAATTTAATTCCTTACTTTGGCTATTAGCATGTTAGTAAAATGCTGCAGGGAAGTATTTGTAAATTAAAATTTCTTTTATCATTTGTCAAGTGGTAATGAATGAAGGCTGTGTCTTCCCACTTGTCATAAAATGTGTAGTGTGCCCTAGCTGTGTTTGTTTCTCTTAGTTGGTGATGATTGTCAGTCCTTCATATATAAATGTGAGGAGCGTTACTTGCTTCAAAGAGCTATGTGATTGAGTCCAGTGTTGGAAAGCAGAATGAAATCTGAAGACTGCTTCTTGTTTGTCATAGGATTGTTGTAGGTTGAGAACCATTTAGAAGCATTTAGATGAGCTGGGTGCCAGTGTCTCACTCCTGTAATTCTAGGCACCCGGGAGGCAGAGATCAGGAGGACTGCAGTTCGAAGCCAGCCTGGGCAAATAGTTCATGAGACCCTATCTCGAAAAACCTTTCACAAAAAAGGACTGGTGGAATAGCTCAAGGCGAAGGCCCTGAGTTCAAACACCAGTACTGCAAAAAAAAAAAAAAAAAAAAAAAGATAGAAGCAGTAGATGTGTGACGGGAGGGGGCGGGTGGTCTCTCTGATAGGAGACTTCAGGATAGAACATTCTGAAAGGGCCTTCTGTTGTCAGTTACAGTACAAGTAAGGCCTGTCTTACATGAGGGGCTGTCCACATTCTAACTGATCATGTTTGATGAGTAAAATATTGCTCTTTTATGTTTTTGTTGGTACTGGAGTTTGAGGGCCCCATGTTTCCTAGGCAGGCGGTCTTACTGCTTGAGCCACTCTGCCAGCCCAAAATGTGCTTTTTCTGCATTAATATTTATTCAGTTACAATCAGGACCTATTCAGTAATTTTACTTTAGAATTTGTTGTTACTTGTCACTCACCATTGCAAGAAAGCGATATTTTTATTGTTGGTCAGTAATAGTGTAATTTAAAGGCTTAGGACAAGTGCATGTTATTATAAATGTATTATTTTATATTTTTTAAAAATGGACTTTCAGTGTGCCTGTAGTCCTAGTTACTCAGGAAGCTGAGGCAAGAGGGTTCCTTGAGCCCATGAGTTCAAGGCTAGCATGGGTAGCATAGCAAGAACTTGTTTCTCAAAAAAAAAAAGAAAAAGGACCTCCATATCCTCTGCCCATTTATTTTTATAGCAATATTCTGTCACACGCAGAGGTGATCAAGGGCACATGCTGGGACAACCATGTGAGAATGCAGTCTTAACCGGGATCCCAGGCAGCTCGGAGCTGCCTGTCCTGATACTGCCCTGCTGACTCAGCTCTGTTCCAGGTCTCCTAGGAAACCTTCTTTAGAGTTTGCTGTCTTGTTTACTTAATACTAATGAGGTGGTCAGATAAACTAGTAATTATGACTTAAGTAAACATGACCAGCTCTGACATATCAGCAAAAGCAAACACCCTCCTAGATCATAAAGGAGATTTAAAGAGGTGATCAGAAGTTTTTCTTCTCAAACCACGTGGTTTATATTCTGAAATTGCCAGGGTTCCATGTGTTGATTTCTCTAAGATCACAGAAGGCCTTGTTATCCTCTTCATCCACCTCTCTGCTAACTTCTGTTCTTGCCAGCAGCGATTGATACTGGGCCTTGAGCGCAGGGCTTCATGCTTGCTAGGTAGGTGTTCTACTACTTGAGCCAAACCCTCAGCCCGAGGAGTCGTTTTCTTATAGAGGTTGTGGGAAGAAAAGTAGAAACCTTCCTGCCAGTTGTTGAAAACTTGATCCTTTGAGTCTGAGAGGGTTAATAGATTGCAAATGTGTTGTAGATTTGCTAGTGCTTACCTTGGTTGTCTAGCTATGACAGCAATACTTGTAGTTCAGATAAGTTAATATGATTGAGAGGTAGTTCAAACTGTAAAACATGAACATATAAAATGTCTTTTGGAAAGAACCTCTGAGTTTAAAATGTGGAGGAGTAAATAGTGAATTAGAGAGACAGATGTTACCTTGGCAAGGGCCCCACAGAGAATCCCATTGTCTTCCTCCCTCCCTCTTGGTGGGTGTGGACATCTTCCCGAGACAGTGTGGGGTTCAGTGTTTCATCCTGCTGTTTGTGACACTGTTGATCTGATTGTCACATAGTGTCTTTTGTAACACCCTAAGTGATGATCTGTTTTAGAAATTGTCTTTTCTTTAAGGACACATAATTGCAGATACTGTGTTTTCTACATCCTGAGTTGGGACATGGGACAAAGAACTTAAAGATGGCTAGTTCAGAGTTAAGGACTGCATGTGTAATGTGAGGTGAGGAAAGAAAGATGAAGATATTTGAAAGAACTGAGAGGAGTTGGTGAGTGGGGAAGTCAACAAAATGAAGCAGAGGCTCTCTGGAGTGCTGGCTTTTACTCCTAGCTGCATTATGCCAGTCATCTTTCTAGGCAAATACCAGTATGGACTTGGTAGAGAGCATGTTCTTTCATGTATTAAGATTTGGTTATTTGACACAAATATCTTGATGCTTCTGTTTTACTTGGAGATTGATTTGATTAAAGTGGATAACATTTTAATTACAGGGTGTGAGATTACCTCCCAAACTGAAGCAGAATGAAGTAGCTAATATTCAGCCTTCTTCCAAAAGAGCCAGGTATGAATAATTTTGAGGGACAGGGAGGGTTTGGTTACCTGTGATGGGTCTGTTGTGGAAAATTTTTGGCGACTGGGGAAAGTTTCTAAGACTTCACAGTGGATGGGATCTGAGAGGAGACTGTTTGCTCTCCATAACATTATTGCAGTATGTCTCATTTTAGAGATGAGACTTGGGATCGTTTCTGTGAAATAAAATGAGCCTTTCTCTTTAAGCAAAACTGTACCAGAATCCCTTTGTTTGAACCCAGCTGCTGTGGGGGAGACAGACTGGGAGAGCTGGAGCCCAGCCCAAGACCGAGCACTGGGCATTGGGCCTCTCAGGTGTCACCTCGTGGCTGCCAGCTCTCAGTGAGTCTGGTGGAAAATGGGGCCCTGGTCTGCTTCAGAATGACGTGTGCACCCACATGACGTGTCGAGTTGGGCTTGCGTTGCACGGTGAGGTGCAAAGCTTTTGGTTCGTCTGGTATAGACGTGCTTGGTCAGTACGAGTCAGTAGAGTCCTGCAGTCAGGAAGTTAGCAAGGCCCAGCAGATGCGGAAGTCTTTGGGACCCTGGAGTGCGCTTACTTCCCACTGTGCCTGGCAAGGCACAGCTTTTGAAGCCCTTCACAGTCAGCAATCTCGTTTTTCCTTCTCTCTGCTTTTCATCTTTCTCTCCTTCACTCCCCCGTATCCAGAGCACAGACTAAATAAAAATTCTCATTTTGGGATTATATTTTTTAAGCCTACGATCAGATTGCCATAGATTAACGTTTTCCTAGATCATCTCAATTTGTTCTTCTCTTTTTTCTTTTTTTTTTGGCGGCACTGGGGTTTGGACTTAGGGCCTCATGCTTACCACTTGAGCCACTCCACCAGCCCTGGGTCATCTCATTTAAATAGAAATGGAGAAATAAGATTTGAACAAGTATAAGAGGCATGTAAAACATGGAAAGGTTAGATTTCAACATGTGCTTCAGGACAGCAGCCTGGTCCATGCCCTTGGTGAAGACAGGGCTAGAACTGACGTATCAGTGAGCAGGACAAGGAGCCGCCAGAGCACACAGAGTTACTTCAAAGCTCCATGTAAGGGGCTGGCAGAATGGCTTAGTGGTAGCACATGAGACCGCGGGCTCTATCTCCTCCACCACAAAAATTAAATAAATAAAAAACTTAACGTTAAAAATGGGAAGCAGTAGCCAGGCACCAGTGGCTCATGCCTGTAATCCTAGCTACTCGGGAAGCAGAGTTCAGGAGTCTCATGGTTCAAAGCCAGCCTGGGCAAATAGTTCGGGAGGCCCTACCTCAAAAAACCTCAACACAAAAAAGGGCTGGCAAAGTGGTTCAGGTGGTAGAGTGCCTGACTAGCAAGTGTGGGGCTCTGAGTTCAAGCCCCACTACCACCAAAAACAAAAATTGGGAAGAAGCAGTACAATGGTTAAGCCAGCAAAATCAGTGAAACATAAAAATGGTGTTAATGTTTTTTCCTTTTTAAAACCCAATTAAAACCAAAATGACTTGGTAGGGATAGGTGGGAAAGAGGAGAGTATCAATCTTAACCAAAGTTACCTAGGTGCTTTTCTCAAAAAGTTTTCGTTAGGGTCTTTTTGGAGGGTGACCTTATGTAACTGGTGGGAAAGAAAGGACAGTAATATATCGAAACTTTCTTATAAGAATAAAAAGCATACTGTACATGGTGGGTCATGTCTGTATTCCCAGCTATTTGGGAGGTGTCGATCAGGAGGACTATGGTTAAAGGCCAGCCCTGGCAAGAAGTTGCAAGACCCCATCTCAACCAATAAAAAGCTGGACATGGTGCATTTACCTGCCATCCAAGCTAGCAGGAGGCATGGATAGGAGGGTCTTGGTCTAGGCTGACCTGAGCATAAACTTGAGACTCTGTTAAAAAGAGCTAAAGCAGTAGAGCGTTTGCTTATGCCAGGCCCTGGTGAGCTCTGGTTTACTAAAGACCATGTTTATTTTATTTATTTATTTTGTGCGGTACTGGGGTTTGAACTCAGGGCCTACACCTTGAGCTACGCCACCAAACCATTCTTTTGAAGAGATTTTGAGATAGGGTCTCATGAACTACTTGCCCAGCTGCTTTTAAACCACCATCCTCCTGATCACTGCCTCCTGAGTAGCTAGGATTACAGGCGTGAGCTGCTGGCACCCGGCTAAGAGCATGTTTATTTTAAGTAAATATTGAAGTCATCGTTATTTTGTGTGTATTTGTTTTACAGAATTGAAGATATTCCACCTCCTACTAAAAAGTTGACACCAGAATTGACCCCTTTTGTGCTTTTCACAGGATTTGAGCCTGTCCAAGTTCAGCAGTATATTAAGGTAAAATTTTGTTCTATATTGAAGGATTTTTAGCATTGTACCTTTCTGTACATACTTACTTCAGGTTAGCCATTTATTCAATGGCCATTTAACCAGGAATATCCTACTGTAATAGACTTTATGGTACTTTATAATAAAGTAACAACTAGTCAGTGACTTCTTGCCTTGTTCTTTGCTATTATTTGATGCTTAGTTACTTTTTCTTTTCTTTCTTTTTTTTTTTGGCAGTACTGGGGGTCTGAACTCAGGACCTCATGCTTGCTAGGCAGGCTCTCTACCACACCAGCCCATTTGGTTTCCTACAGCTATAGAAATATGATTCAGATACATGTGAGCATTTAATAGGCTACTTGAATATCATTTTTATAAAGACACTGATTTCAAAGTGGGCTGAGCATCTTCAGGTTCTCTGATTAAAACAGACTACCAAAATTTGTTTTCTGGGAAGAGTGAGGCCAGTCCTGGAGGGGAAGGTGTTGTGTATTTGTGTAGACAAAAGATGGGAACAAAGTTGTAAATATATTTTTTCAAAGAACAATTGCAAGGAATGATGGATTTTGTTACTTGTACAGTGTTTCATTCGTTTTGTTTTGGTGGTCAAGTAAGTTGACCTGTATCAGGTTAGAGTCATAGATTTTACTCTTAATTCTTTTAAGGCAATGAAATAGTTATTAATGCTGCTATTATACATTTAGCATGATTTAATTTTTCTGCCTTTAAGATATGAGTAGAGCTGTAAAGAGATGTTTTCTTTATATGCTCATATCTTTGTCTGTTTCTGTGCCATGACTTTTGAAAGTGGACATAGTGTGCTGATGCTGTTGAGTAGCCACTGGTTGTTTGAAAGTCTGGGCAGATTCAGTCTGTACTGCAAAGTGAGCTGTGATGTTTTTGGGCTTTGTATTTATGCAGACAGATGAGTAACTGATGTTTGGAGAACTCATATATTTTTTTTCACCATCTTATTTTGTATACATATTTGCTTAAAGTCGAATTTCTAGGTGTTTGTAAGTAGCTTACATTGTCTGGATCCAAGGTATGCTGCAAGGACAGCCTGAAGTAAATAGTAAAATGGGAAATAACATCTTTTTAAAGATAGGCTTAGATATTTTAATACACTAAGTTAAGATATTTCCTTTCTCTGGTAGCAGTGCTGATTGATATCTGGCTGCTAGGCCACCATTCACAGGCATAGCCAAGAGAACAGCACACAGACCACCAAAACCAAGCCCCACCAGTTCACCCTGTATCATGGTTGACAATTCCTGTTTTGATCCCTATTTGTGTAGAGCTAATTACAATAGTGTCCCCTTCAGATTCTCCTCTTTGCTTATCTCGTTTTGCTTTTCCTGTCACACAGTGCTTGGGACTGAGGACAGCCCTTGTAAGTCCCATCTTTGGACAGGTGCCCTGTTGTGCCCTGCTGATTGTCATTTTCCCTTTCTGATCTGTTTGTGGCATCAGAAGCTCTACATCCTGGGCGGGGAGGTGGCTGAATCCACACAGAAGTGCACCCACCTCATTGCCAGCAAAGTGACGCGCACCGTGAAGTTCCTGACGGCTATCTCCGTGGTGAAGCACATTGTGACTCCAGAGTGGCTGGAGGAGGGCTTCAAGTGTCAGAAGTTCATTGGTGGGTAGTGTCATCTGCACCACGATTTTTAGTGACAAGGTTTCAAATCCTTTTTCTGGAATTTATCTCCATTTTCAGCCCAATATACATCTGGTTTTTTTTTTTTTTTAATTATTTGATAATTATTCATTTAAATTTATAAATTTATTTTATATCCCAGTGACTTCTTTGATTGGTATCTTTACATTTTATTATGAAATACAAAGACTTGATCATTTGAATGAGATCAAGGGAAAAATGCCCCTTTTTGTTTTTTCTTTATTAGTATATTTTGCTTGAAAATCTGGCTGTAAAACAAAATTCCTTCCGTGCAGTAAAGTGTAACTTGTCCGTTTGGAAAGAAAATAGGTACACATAGATGTCCTGGCAGTTTGAATATCAGTTCACTTAGGATGGAAAGTGGCTGCCTACTCTGGCACAGAGCCCCTTTGATGAGTGTATTTAGGGCTTCCTCTTAGCTTTGTAGAGACACTGAAATGTTTTTAGATCCTTGCTAAGTAGGCATGATTATAAATCTCCGTGACTTTTCCATAGACGCTATGGAGCCCAGGTGAACCTGTACCTTCATGTCTTCAGTGGCAGCACTGTCATTCCATGTCTGCAGAGTTGGTGTCCCCAGCCCATCCCCCAGGCCTGGAACCTTAAGCCTTCCTGAGCATGACCTGTGTCCTCTTTTGGCCGCTGGTCTTAGTGGAGCAGGGAGCATTGTCACATGGCCTCGCCCTCCTTCCTGGGCTTCTCAGTTTTTCTCTCTACGTGGCCGTGCTGGCTCCAAGCTGAGTCCCCTGCTTCCCCTGCCACATGCAGTAATGCTGGAGACCAGCCTGTACCTCGGGGCCTGCAGTGCACCTGATTTTGGCCAGTGTCTTACCCTGGCTGCCACACTCTTCTCACACTCTCCCTGCACAGAAGGGATGCTCCAGCTTCCAGGGTGAGAGCAAGGTATGTGGCTAAGGGCCGGTCTACTGGTCCCACACTCTCTGACTGACTGCAGTAACCGAGTTCACATGTAACGGGCACAGGTTGTTCCTTAAGACAGTCTTCATAAAATAGCCTAGTTCAGACCCATATCATTTTCTTGGCCTCTGGTATTTAAACATAACTTAATCTTTAGTATAAATAAATAAATAAATAAATGAATGAATGAATGAATGAATGAATGAATACCCAGAAAAATAAAGGTAGTTGAAATTACTGTGTACAGCAAGGCTAGAATTAAACTTCACATCCCACTTCTACATCAAAACAATAAGCCATAGGAAAGCATAAGTCGTTAATATAAAGAACAAGCCCTAACTCCTCGACTGCAGCATTCAGTCAGTTTTTGTCGTTTACACTAGTTGTATTCTATGAAGTCACTGCAAACTCTGAATTACTGAATGCCGACCCATTGCTTGCAGAAGAAATGGAGGGCTGGTTTCTGAGAGCCTCTCGTCCCTGCATGTTGATCCATCAGTACTTTGTTTTGTTATGATTCTGTTTAAAAACACTTTACCAGCTGGAGCCATGGTTCAGGTGGTAGTGCACCTGCTAGCAAGTGCAAGGCCCTGAGTTCAAATGCAGTACCATGAAAACCCCCATCTCAACCTTACCGAATAGATACTGTTTATAGGATTCACTAACACTCAACTCTCCCAGCCAACAGTGCTGTGCCTGAATGAAGCTGATCTGACACGTGTATTTTCCCATAACGCCCATCACAACTTTCTGGCACTTAGGATCAAAGGACAACACTTTATCACTGTGCTGGAGAGCCTTTTCCCAGAGCATAATTATCAAATAAATAACAAAAATGCCAAAAGGTTTCACTCACTACACCACATAGAGGACACAAGCATGAGCCAAAACAAGATGGCAGGGTGTTCCTGGCTCTTTCTCAGCAGGGAACGTGATGAGTGACTCAGGTCTTCTCTGCTCATGACACGACAGCCGTGACCTGGGGTTGCAAATTAGCAAATGTGGAATTTATGAATGAGACTCAAGTGTATTAAACACTATTTGGAAATGTTGTTTCACTTGAAACTTTGGAATTTTTTTGTTTTTAGTAAAAATGATATTCATGAAATAATGAAGACAGGAGAAAAAGTTATAGGAATAGTTACCATCACCATGTTAGCTCTGAATTTTCTGTAATACCAAGAGCTGTAAAATTTAGAATGAGATAGCATGCACTTTAATTGAACTCTGAGTGTAATCTCTTCAGGTCTTCTGTGGCACTCATACATGTGGCCTGAGCACCTCAAAGGCCTACTGTGTCCCTTGACTCCATGTGCTGCCTTTGGCCTCATCTGCTTTAGGGATCTTTGTTGTTACTCTCTACTCTGCTTTTCTAACCAGAAACATGCCTGTTTGTTCAAAATCAGTTTGTCAGATGATCCGCTTACTTAATTTTCAAGGTTACTAGACTGGAAACTTCAGTCTTTTGTCTGTTTTTACAATTCTTTTTGTTTGTTTGTTTTTTGAGTGGTACTGGGGTTTGAATTCAAGGCACTGCTCTTGCTGGGCAAGCGCTGTGCCACTTGAGCCATGCCTCCAGCCCTTTTTACTTTAGATGTTTTTCAGATGGGGTCTCACTTTTTGCCCAGACCAACCTGGGATTGTTATCCTCCTACCTACGTCTCTGGCTCAGCTGGGCTCGCAGATGTGAACTGCTGTGCCTGGCTTGTTGGTTGAGATGTGGTCTTGCTAACATTTTTTCTGAGCTGGACTTGAATCACAACTCCTCCCCGGTAGCTGGAATTTTAGGTGTGCACGACTGTGCCCTGCCTTGGCTTTTATTTATTACATTGTCCATGTTTTGAGGGTTAAGGGGTTTATTTAATTATGAACATTTAGTATTCAGAAAACATATTTCCTATCTTGTCCTCCCAATTCCAGAATTTCCTAAGAGAATGATTCTTTTTATAATAGACTATTTCTTGGGGGCAGTTTGGGTTCACGGCAAGGATGAGTTCCAGCATCCTACCTGCACATGCACTTGCACCCCCTGCCCCCCAGTCAGCACCTGACATCAGAGGGGTACATGGTTACAGCAGTGAACCCACCTGGACATTTGGGTCACCCACAGTAGGTAATGTGCCTGGGAGCTGGTGCCTGGTGTTGCACACTCCCCTTCACGGGCCCATGCAGAATGGGCAACAACCCCAGATCCTCTGTGTTTTTGCTTTCCCAGAATGGCCTGTAGTTGGAATTAAAGCCAACTGGCTTCCCTTATTAAGTAACACGCTTTTAAGATTCCTTCATGTCTCTTTATGGCTAGATAGCTCATGTTTATCTCTTGTCTGTATATACCGTAGTTTTATTTATCTTTTCACCTGCTGAAGGACATTTTGACTGCTTCAAAATTTTGACCATTAGCAGTGGAGTTGCTGTAAGCAGTTGTAGATTTCTTTGTGGACATGTTTTCAACTCATTTGGATAAATAATAGAGAACGTGATTATAGGTTTAGGTTGGTTTGTTTGTTTTAAGTGTTCACAACAGGGTCTCACTATGTAGTCCAGGCTGGCCTTGAAATATGATCCTTCTGCCTCAGCTTCTCAAGTGCTAGGATTACAGACATGTACCACCATGCCCAGCCTGTATGTTTGGTTTGTTAGAGATCAGCAAACTGTCTTCCAGTGTGGTCACACCATGTTACATTCCTGTCAGCAAATGACTTAGAGTTCCTGTTTCTCCACATCGGTGTCAGCACTTGGTATTGTCATTATTTGGATTCACCATTCTAATAAGTGTTCTGATGCCTCATTGTTCCTTTACTTTGCATTTCTAATGACGCTTGATGCTGAGTGTCTTCTTGTGCTTACTTGCCATCTGTCTGTGTTTGGTGAGGTACCTTGGTCTTTTCTCGGTTCACAGTCTGTTTCTTTCTGTTGGGTCTTAAATAGATTTTGAAGTACTTTGTGTAACAGGCGTCCTCTGCAGACATTCCTCCCAGTCTGTAGCTTGTCTTCTCATTCTCTTCACAGTGTCTTTGGTGGGATAGAAGTTTTTAATTTTAATTCAGTCAATTACTTCTTTCAGTATATAAAAAGCACTGCCCACGCCAGGGTCACCTCATTTTTCTCCTCTGTTCTTGTGTAGGGATTTTGTAGTTTTTCATTTTATATCTTGAGCTAATTTTGTGTGGTTCTAAGTTCTGTGGCAGGGTCGCGCCTCAGTGGTGGCTGTGCAGCTGTCCTAAGCACCATTTGCTGAAGAGGCTCCTCTACGCTTTCTCTACTGCAGTCTTTCACCACAGATCGGTTGGCTTGTAGGTGGGCCTGTTTCTGGCTTGTCTTCTGCCCCTGCTGTACCCGTTCTGTCACCAGTGCCACATGCCCCAGAGCTCTGCCGTGGTGTGGTGCAGGAGGTCAGGAGGGAGGCTGGCTGGTGTCCCCTCAGTCTCCTCTGCTGCTCCGATCCACTGGTGAATTATTGTTGATATAATCCAGGGACACTTTGTCTGGCAGGTTTCTGTTTTCAGGTTGAAACTCCTCAGGAAGTCACTGAGCTCTAGCTTTTTGTTTCCAGCAATTGGGACCTGAAGTTTTGCTTTCAGATTCATTTTTTACTATTAACCATCTTTCAGCATTTTAAGGATTGTTAAAACCAATTTGACTTCTTGGTAGGGGCACATTTTGGATTTGTGTATTTGTGTTGAGTGTGTAAGTTTGAGGCACACAGCTATCGAGAATCGCTTTTTGGATCATGTATTTTCTTGGAGCTCCCACAAGAAGCTTCACTTTCAGGTGGATCTTTCTCTAGACTCCCACAAGTTCATATGAACCCATTGCCCTGCTGCTGCTTTTAGGAAGCTAAAATGCCAATCTGGCTGCTTGCAAGATTGCTTAAATTGCTTTCTTGTTTCTCAGTTCTGTTTTCTGTCATAAATAATAACCCACTGTTTTTTTAAGAAGCATTTAAAAAACCATTTCTGTTTTGTTTGTTTTAGCCTTCATTTCTGCCCTAGAAGTGACATTTCAAATACATCAATTCATGTGTCATAGTATTTTTTTGTTCATTTGAAATTCATCATTTTTTATCTCTCCAGTTTTTATGTTTGTATCTTCTTTTGCCTAAAAAAAGTAGACAGGCTTACTTATTGGCTGGTTGACTGGTAGCTTGATGGTGTTTTTCTAGCATTGGCAAACAAATTTCAGGATCTCTGTATTGATAGGATTGTCCATGCCCATGAGTTAAGATAGATTTTCACACTTCTAAAGCGTTGTCTTCAAAAGGGAAGCACACACTACAGAAATACTTGGCCCACAAAGCCTAGCATATGTGCCTCTGGCCATCACCAGTTTGCTTACCAAGGCTCCCATGTCACACTGGGTGGGTGTCACGCAGGAGGAGAGAGAATGCTTGTCTGAATTCAAGACACATTCATAGGAAGAGAAAATATCTGTGTTCTATAGCTTTTGGCACATTAGACATTTCTTAAAATGTTGCTCTGAAAAATAAATCTCAGAAGTCAGCAGGGCACCAGTGGCTCACACCTGGAATCCCAGCTACTTGGGAATCTGAGATTGAGAGGATCAGGGGGATCAAGGTTCGAGGCCAGCCCAGACAAATACTTCAAGAGGCCTCATCTCCAGATGAACCAGAGCAAAATGGACTGCAGGTGTGCCTCAAGCAGTAGACTGCCTGTTTGCAAGCACAAAGCCTGAGTTCAAACCCCAGTCTCATCCCCCCTACCCACCCCCCCAAAAAAAATTCTCATAAGTCTTTGAAAGTTGATTGCTGCTGGGCACTGATGTCTTATGCCTGTAATCCTAGCTAGTCTGGAGGAAGAGATCAGGAGGATCTTGGTTTGAAGCCAGCCCCAGGCAAATAGGGCAAGTAGTTTTTTGAAACCTTATCTTAAAAATACCCAACACAAAAAAGGACTGGTGGAGTGTGGCTCAAATGGTAAGAGCGCCTGCCTAGCAAGCGTGAGGCCCTGAGTTCAAACCCTAGTGCCGCCAAAACAAAATGTTGATTGCTGTACACTTTATTCTTTGTGGTGGGGATTGAGTGCTATACACTTTTATATACTTAAATGTGTTTTTTTATAAATCAATAAAGTTTGATAAATTCAGCATTTTACGTCCCTCAAGGCACTGGGAGTCGGTCTGTAGGCGTGCACTTGGACATGGTGATAACTTAAAAGCTGCTCATTCTAGGACTGGAATTCCTAGCCTGAGTCTGTGCACTCGGGGAGTTTGTGAGCTCGCTACAACTGATATGATAGTTAAGGGTGGGGAGGGAGGCACAGCTCTGGTGAGGTTCTGTAGCTCTCAGTAAATTTTTTTCAAAGGAGTTTACATAAACCCCACCAGGTCAGTTGCCACTGATGTAGGAGGAAGAATATCTGCCTGCCTTTTGGCTGTTTTCAGGGGCAAGCAAATGGGATGTAATGATGAGACATTAATACCCAGAGTTGGTATAGGTAAACATAGCCACAAACAACTTGCTACCTGGACATAGGGGACTTCTGGGAGGAGGTTGCACCTGCCATGCTGCCTGCATATGCATGTTCAGAGTGTGCACTGTTCTGTTTTTCAGATGAGCAGAACTACATCCTCCGAGATGCTGAGGCAGAAGTGCTTTTCTCTTTCAGTCTGGAAGAATCCTTAAAACGAGCACATGTTTCTCCACTCTTTAAGGTACAGTTGAGAGGAAAACCCTCATCAGCCCAGGTAGATGTACCAGTGGTCCAGGTGAAGGTACGGGCAGTTTATTGAAGTCACCCTGGCTGCGCCTCTTGCCTCTCTTCCTCTCTGGACGCTCCCTTGAGGACGTGCAGGATACCCACAGAGAGCTGCTCTTTACTGTGGTTTTTAAAAAATAGTACAAAATTCAAATAAGTAGATTGATTAGAGATCAGGTGTTCAAAGAGTGTGTTCATGAATAATTTAACTGGCAAGAGACATGTAAGTTCATTTTCCTACTTTTAATAAATCTTTGGAGGACACTGCTTATACTGTTCTCAGTAAATCTAGTCCACTAGAGAAGATAGCTAGGAAAATAGTAATCGAATGTAGCAAATGGTTCAGAGCTAAAGGTTTTGAAATATTTGTTGGCATAAGAGACTTGGAACAGTTGGAAAGTGTTTTTTTTTTGTAACAAAGCTGAGTAAATCTCTAAAGATCATCTGTTCTTTGAATTTCTGAAGAAGCCAGGTTAGGAATGAGAAATTGGGGGTATTGAGTTAAGATGCACTTTATCAAAAAGAAAAAGAAAGAAAGACAAAGATGCATTTTACCTAGAGTGGTCTGATTTTTCTAAATGTTTGCTTAGCTTTTTTTTTTTTTTTCCCCCTCTGAACAGTATAAAATAAAATAGAATTTTGTTACACTTAGGATCAAGCTTGTTAGAAAACTAAATCTTAAAGCATCAACGTATTTTCTACTCTGAGTCCAAATAATGCAGAGGAAAAAAAGGATTATGGCAGGAGTGGTGCTGTTGCTTGACAGATAAAGGGGTTAAATGCAGTGCTGGTTTAGAACTTTTTGGAAGTTGTTAAGGGTTAATAGTCTTGCTTTGTCACCAAGCCTCCGTCTCTGCTGGAACCTGAGACCCGGTCCCTGTAATCCCCATGGGCCGTACTTCATGCGGGAGTCCGCCCGCAAGTTCACCTTGCTGGATTTCTCCAGGCCATTCCAGCTGGGGTACTTTTGGGGGAATCACCTTCGTGATTTCAGAACCTAAGACAGTTTGTTAAAAAGCTCAGGGCAGGAGCTGTGAAAACTTACACACTCTAGAAGTTGAAAATAGTTCACACGTGGTTTACTTTTAGGGAAAATATTTTTACATCACGCCTGGCATTTGCCCAAGCCTTTCAACCATGAAAGCCATCGTGGAAAGTGCGGGAGGAAAAGTGTTGTTGAAGCAGCCGTCCTTCCGGAAGCTCATGGAACACAAGCAGGATAAGGTGAGCAGCGCAGCGTCAGAGCCATTGTCGTCAGACTTGGGCCACTCTTCAGTCACTGGCCAACTCTCTTTCTTTTCCTTAGAGTCTGTCGGAGATAATTTTAATATCCTGTGAAAATGACCTTCATTTATGTCGAGAGTATTTTGCCAGAGGAATAGGTATGGCTCCCTGCTCTTGTTCATCCACCTTTGTCTGTGTACGGATATGCTTCTTTGTTTTACGTTTTGGTTTTCCTTCCACTCAGATGTTCATAATGCAGAGTTTGTTCTAACTGGAGTGCTCACACAAACGTTGGATTATGAATCATATCCTTTTTGAAAGAGCTTGTGCCGTGGATGGGTGGAATGTGCGGGTGGACCTCCAGACTGACCCAGCGATGCCTTTGCTGCTGTTGTGTCATGTAGAGTCAGCAGCCCTTCCTCCCCAGAATGGTCATGGAGCCTCTGTCCTGAGGGGCCCATCGCAGTAGATGACACTAAACAGAAAGGCCATGTCCTCTCTGTTTTATGTAGGTATTCAAGTATTTGACAGACAGAACAGAAAATAATCATTGCAAAAATAAATGCCTTAAGTATGTGTTTCTTTTTATCAGCTTGTTTCCAAGTTTGTAGTTTTGAAGGTGAATTTTAGATTGAGCGCAGTGTCTGTATTCAAGCTTTGAGGTGTCAAGTAAAAGTCAGCTTAATAGATGTGTCATGATGGGTAATCACTAGCATGGTGTTCACAGGTGACATGCAGGGGTAGCCGCTTTTTAATCAGAAAAATAATAAAGCTTGTCACGTGACTCAATCCTAATTAAAAATACCGTTTTCATGTGCGAATGGCCCAAGTGAAGCAAAATGGGCCTCACGAGTCCTTATGAAGAAAACACATTTTACCTCCACGTCCCACCAGACAGCCTGCTCTCGGTGATGTTTCTTGGATTAGGCTGAGGGCCCCAGCTTTAGCCGGACCACTCCTAATGCAAGTGATTTTGTGCTTGGATAGGAGCGCCTGAGTCCAGAGTCAGGACGGTGTGCATCCCTGGCTCCATTGTGTTTCCCTACTTCATCTGTTTCCCACTAGCCTGAAAGAGCTTAGGGTTGTCATATAAGCAGAAGACCTGTTTGCATACCCTGGGGGCAAGAACACTGAAGAAGAAAATGTACCTGAGTTCCAGAAGCCAGTGTCAGGTTTAGCACTAACTGGCCTGCTTGGTGCAGGGACACTAATTCATTAGTGTTAGTCACAGCCGGGTGTGTTCACACCTCTGTCTGATAGACGCCATTGCAGGAGTCCCTGACGCAGTGAGGAAAGTCCTGTTTACTTGTTCAGAACTGCCGAAAGCATTCGGGTTTCTTCTGCGTCTTTTCCAGACTTCTTTCTACCATTCAAATTTATGTCTGTGAAAACCTGCTCCCCTCTGCTTGACTTTCAGAAGGAAGGACGGTTTTAGAAGTTTCATGGGTGATTTGTGGGAATTATCTCAGGCCTTTTCTCACACCTGGAACCTGAAGCCAGCCTGGTTAGAGTTACCCAGAGTGGATGGTTAGAATCACAGGTGCTTTTGAGGATGTGGATAGTTCAGGTTCTACACTGGGGCTTTGGATTCAGCTGGACAGGCTTCATGGAGCCGGATGTTGACTCTGTCCAGCCCAAGTGAGGTCTGTGCACATTGGTTGGGGATTTTAAAGTCCGTGGGGCCAGGTGCTGTGGTTTGCACCTATAATCCTACTCAGGAGGCAAGAGATTGGGAGGGTCATAGTTCGAGGTCAGCCCAGGCAAAAGCTTGTGAGATCCCATCCCATCCCAGCTTTGCAGGAAGCATAAATAGGAGGGTCACAGTCCAGGCTGGCCCCGGCATGAAGTGAGACCCTACTAGAAAAAGACCTACAGCGGAAAAAGGTCTGGAGGTGTGGCTCAAGTAGTAGATTGCCTACCTGACAAGCAGGAGACTCTGAGTTCAAACCCCAGTACCACCAAAAAAAAGGAAAAAAAAAAAAAAAAATATATATATATATATATATATATATATATCTTCCCTGGGGTTTGAGTGAGCAGCAAGACCTACTGTTGTGAATGGGTAAGGAAAATGTAGCATTCTTACAAGCGTTGCCTACAACTGTTGACACACATCCATGTTCAATGTCACTGTTGCCTATGTGTGAACACTGTTTTCCTCAACAAGCCCACATATAAATTTAACTGATGGCCTCCTGCCGGCTGCAAGCCTGGACCCCAAAGCACAGGTCAGCTGCCAGCCGCACACCGGGGCTTCCTCCAGCCTGCTTGTTTTCCTGCTGCTCCAGGGACAAGATGTGAAGCAGGAAAACAGATGTAATACTTATACTGCATCTTTTAAGATGTGCAATTTTATTCTGAGGAAACATAAATTATGTTTTGTATTATATGACTTTATGAGCCCACATTAGGTCTTATGATTCATTTGCCGGGTTTTTAAATGTTTTCACAAAACCGTGTGGACCTTCAGCTACAAATAAAATGGTGTAAAGAAAGACCATGCTATCTAAATTATGGATGTTAAAGATTTGAAATGTTTTGTACTATGATTATTTTTATTTCTTATACTCTTTTCTTTTATATTGGCATCTTACCCACATTTTAAATAAATGTACTTTTGAACTTTACTTAGAATTGAGTGATCCTTTTCATTCCTTACTTTTTGTATAATTTTATAATTTGCATCAAACTGGATCACATTTTAAGTAATTTCAAAGTATTTTCTAGTAAATTTTCTCCTGAACAAGTAATTTCTGGAAGGGAGCTGTGATGAGGCAGCTGTGGACAGGCGGAGAGGAAGCCCTCGTGGTCACTGCACACAGGCACGGGCAGTGGGAAACAGCAGCACCCCTGAGCCTGTGCCCACCTTGTCCCTGTGCCAGGTCTTACTGTGACACCATCTTGCTGGGCTGTGGGGACTGGAGACCCACATCGCTCTATGTTACAGCAGTGAGTGTTATAGGATCATGGTTGCTGTCCTTTCCTGGGTGTGCAGAGCTGTTCCTCCTTCACCTTGCTCACCCTGTATTTTCCTTGGTTCTTGATTTGCTTCCGTGAGTGTTATATAGGAGATGTTTGTGATCTGTGTGAGTGCTTGTCCTTTAGTTGCACAATCTGTGCAGTTTGGTTCTTGAACACAGTTTAGGTGGAGCACATGTATTAAGACATATTAGTGCAGAACAGTCCCATTTTGGGGGATTCTCAGTGCTCCTGCAGGCTTTAGTGTTGGCTGAGTTTTCCAGGCTTCATTGTTGCCAGGTTTTTTTCCCCAACTCCAAGAGGTTAGAGCCCTGTGGAATTATTTCTTCAAATGGAAAAGAAGCTCAGCTTTAGGGCTTCACCACACAATTTCATGTGTGAAGATACAAGGACAGCATCTTCAACTATATCCATTTCCTGTGTCCCTGGACCTGCAGTGATTTCGTGGTGACCTGACAAACGTGGGCACCTTCATGCCTTTCTAAATATGACTGGCTTATGTGTTGATTGTCTGTAGAAATACTCTCATTGGGATTTAAAATGTGCCTCACAGCAGTTTTTCTTAGGTGCACTATGTGCTGGAACTTACGTTTGCACAGACTTTGTGCCTGGAGATCTGTCTTCTCTTTGAAACTCATGTTCTTACCTACAGAACTGCCTTTTTCTCATGTCCCACTGGTGGTGGCTGTTGCTATAAATATCTTCAATTCTGTGGAATCCTGAAAGTGCAGAAGTGGTTCATGCTTTGGAACAAAATTTTGATTTTCAGGATATTCCAAATGCTGTCCTGTGACTTAGACCTTTGAAGAAAGTAGACACATAGACTAATAGGCCCTCTGGGAGAAGCAGCATACATCTGTCATCTGTGGAGGAGACAGGGTGTTTATTTAAACAACACACAACTATGACTGGCTTGATTAACCTTTCAATTAGTGTTTTCTTCCAAAGCTGCCAAGAAACAAACAATCCTTACAAACTCCAGGAGCTGTCTAGAGCCAACTGGCTTGCACAGCTGTTAAGCCCTGATTTGGCTAACAGGGAGTTATATATGAATATATAAGAATAAAAAGATTTCAGATAAATACTTGTTAGGAAATTTGATTGGATTCAAAAAGTTGTTTCTTACAAGAAAGGAAACCTTTCATTTGTTCCTGCTAATTTGGCCTGACTCACCATCAACCTTAGAAATACAATGTAAGTTACATGGAGTTCAAAAAAATTTTAGTGGCTATACTATTTTTTAAACTTCAGCAATTATTTATAATAACTAAACCTGTGTTTCAAAATATTGTTTGAAGTACACATACTATTTAAAACATTATTGAGGGTTCCAGTCACTGAGGTGGTGCAAGGACTCAGAGGCTTCCCCTTGAGCTCCCTTGCATCCCAGTGCCACTCACAGCCCCAACCCTCTTTTTCCTGCAACTGTCTTCACACTCGTCTTCACTGGAGGAAAAGGAATCAAATCTACTGTCCAGAGCCTCCACTTGACCCCTTTGCTGATGCAAGTAAGGGTGATGACCTGCTTTGTGCTGGCACTGATGATTACGTCCACATAAGAATTCAAGAGAAATGGCAGGAAAACCTGGCTGCTGTCCACAGGAGCACCAGTGATTACAATAAAAAGAAACTGATGAAGGTGTTTAAGAAGAAATTTGGCTAGGTGCCCGTGGCTCATACCTGTAATCCTAGCTACTTGGGAGGCTGAGATAAGGAAGATCGCTGTTCAAGGCTAGCCAGGGCAAATAATGTGTGAGCTCCCTATAGCCAAAACAACCACAGCGAAAATGAGCTGAAGCTGTGGCTCTAAGGGTAGAGGACCTGCTTTGCAAGTGCCAAGCCCTGAGTTCAAACCCCAGCCCTAACAATCCTACCAAAAATTAAAAATAAAGGAATTTGCCCACAGTGGCACTGTAGTTGAGAGCCCAGATATGGAGAAGGGGCCAGCTCAAGAGCTATGCCAGATGCTGGCAGACACTAGACTGGCTGAGGACGATCAACTGAAGGTCTGTGGGTTTTACGTGCTCAAGGCTCACTGAAGCCTAAGTGAGGATTTCTCTGCAATGAGTAAATTTCCCTCTGTCCCTTGTCACAAGTTTAAAAACCTCACAGTTTGTATAGTTGTAACCACTTGGGGTCCGCTTTTCACTTGGACTAGTGTAACTCCTCCATGCAATAAACTGAAGAGAGCCGGAAAAATATTGAGCAGTTGTTGTGGCAACGTGTGTGGTCCCAGCTTTTAGGAGGGTCATAAGTTTGAGCTATCATCTATCTGTTGAGCTACTTTTACCCTTTTCTGGATGACAAGACCTTAAAATCCACATATCTTAATTCAGATTTTCATTGGAAGTACTGATCTGTATTTAGATTTCTTACAATTGAAAAAATAGATTTATATATCCAAGTTGTTTGAAACATAGTTTTTTTTTTTGCAGTAACTGAATTAGTGTTGGTTTTTATGTTAAAATTAATGTTCACAAAAGTAAAAACAGTTCCTTGCTTGCACTAGGTACACATGACGTGACTGGTTACGTGTGAAGACGAAAGTCTTCCTGCTTACTTACCCCAGTAGTGGAACACTGCCAAGTGAGGATGGAGGGTGTGGGAGGGTGTGGGAGGATGTGGGAGGATGTGCTTATTCTAACCGTACCAGTCCAAGATGGTTTGTCCAGAAGCAGAATTAAAACCTTGTCCTCCACTACATGAGGGGACCCAGGTGTGTGTACTCCTTGTGGGTGCTAGGGAGTGAGGGGGAATTTGAGAGAAATAGTGAGCATTCTAGCTCTCTCTAGCGGGGTAGTCTTAGTAGGAAAAATTAAACATTTTATTTTATTGGTAGTACTGGGATTTGAACTCAGAGCTTTGCACTTGCTAAGCAGGCACTCTAACCACTTGAGCTATGCTCCTAGCCCTAACAATAGATCGTAATCCAGCAAATATTTGGCAACTTGAGAAATATTTGAATAGTTATAGCTGCATTATACTTTTATTTCCTTTAAATGTTTTGGCATAGAAAAGAACAAGGCTAATCGAAAGGTAGTTGACACCTCAGCTCTTTCAATGTAAGTGCTCCCTGAGGTTTTCCTGAATATTTATTAAGTAATTCAATTCTGAATTTGCAAGAGGCCTAGTTCCCTCTGAGCTGCACCGTCTCAGACACGATCCTTTCCTCCCCAGGCTTCCAAGCCTCCTCTTCATCTCACTGAGCGCTAGATACTGTCCCCAGTGTGGGATACAAGCAGGTCCTCTTGCACTCTTGTCTTCCTTTTCCCTTCCTTTCTGTGGGTTTCCAGGCTTTGTTCATTGTACTTTACACTGTCATCAGGCTCTCTTTCTGCCTCAGTCTCCTCTTCTGGGCGGCCCTCCCTACTGTGAAAAAGCCATTTTCCTGAGTGAACATTCTCCTCGTCACAGTCTTGCTCTAAAGAAAACCAAGCTGTCGTGTTTCAATCTTACTCCCTTATCATGTCCTCATCCCACCCAGTGCTCCTGTCACCACTGTGGAGTGCCCCCCACACCGCAGACCTCTCCAACCTTACCTGCTAGTCCTTCTTGTCAGGACAATTCCTATTTTTATGTGATGAGCATTTCTGCACACTCGATCTTGTGAAGCCCTTTCTGATGTTTGCAAACATTTCTAGTTTCCTCCTTTGCGTGTTCTGAGCCCTCTCTGGTTCAACAGAAGAGATGCGTTGAGGTGCGTGGTTACTTGTTTGCAGTCTTTCTCGCCTGCATGTGGAAGCCTTGGACACACATGCTTAGACTCTCCTCATCTGGGTATCTGTGGGAGGCAGGGGAATCGACCCCAGAGATGGCCGTGTCTCCTTACACAACCTGTGACTACCATTTGATTTTAGGGACACTGGGGACTTTGCAAGTGTTTTTAAGACTAAGGATCTTTTTTCTTTCTTTCTCTTGGTAGTACTGGGGTTTGAACTCAAGGCTTCATACTTGCTTGGTAGGAGCTTTACCACTTGAGCCACTCTACCAGACACCAAGGTTTTGAGGTGGGGAGAGCAGTGTGGGTTATTCAGCTGGGCCCAAGCTAATCACAGGAGTCATGAGAAGTGGACCAGAGAGGTGGACTAGAAAGAGAACTTGACCTGTATCTCTGTATCAAGATAAGGAAGGGCCACAAACCGAGGACCCCTAGTTGCTATGGCCAGCCAGAAATGGGGATCTTGGTCTTGCAAATGCAAGCAGCTGAACTCTGCCAACAGCCAAGTGAGCAGGTCCAGATTCTCCCCTGGATCTTTGCTTTCTTGCTTGAGATAGGATCTTTTCTATGTATCCCTAGCTGGCCTCAAACTCGTGATCCTCCTGTTTGAGCCTCCCTAATGCTAGGATGACAGGTGTGTGCCCCTGTGTCCGCTGACTCCCACTAGGCTTCTGATGACAACTATAAGGCAGTGGGTTTTTGTGGTTTTTGTTTAAGCCACTGTGTATGTGGTGATTTGTCTCAGCAATAATAGAAGACTGACACAGAATACCAAGCTGTAGTAGAAAGCTTGGCAATCGAGCATCTGCTCAAAATACATTGAACTAA